TGGTATCATTGTTATTGAGGTATTGGGAATGAGAAGTTTTCAATGCTGTGATGATTGTAATCGGCAAAGTAACTAATGCTGAGGTCTGATCCGTCTAGGCACAAACATCAATTCAACATTTTTTTTTTCCTTTTAGGGCAGAGGTGTCAAACTCATGTTGGTCTGAGGCCGGATTTGAAAAATAATTGGTTGGGGGCCGAAAGCATAAAAGTGTTTGAAGCTCATCTGTTTAAAATAAAAATTGCATTTTCACACTATGAGGTTAATAAGACAAAAGGATTACTAACTATTTTTTCTTAACCAAACTAGTTCAGATACAGTATGTTTGGACTGAACAAATGGTTAAAAGTAAAGGATTGGCAAATTACTTTATTTTAACAGTTTAAAATATGTGTTGGCTTCAATTTTTAGAATCAAATGAATTATGTGATTCTTTTCTGAGAGAATTAGATTTGAAATTAGGTATAACATGCCGTGGTAGCTCATATCAACCTTACCCTCTATGCTGCAAGTTACTACTAATAATTGAAAAAAAAAGGGGGAAGCCAATATTTGTTTCTGTTTGGACCCACAATCAGTTTTTGCATGCACAGTGGATCTGCTACGACAGAAATATTTATTCTTCTAAATTGATGAATACATTAATCCTACATTTTACATGTAGAAGCCTATATTAAAACATTCTCTTGAAAAGATTTCAGGAAAACAATTAAACTTAACTTTTACATTTGAAAGAAAAAGTCAAATTTGAGTCTTGTATCATTTTTAGCCCTTGGTGCCAGATCATTGTGTTATATATTGTATCCTGTCATGATGGGCCAAGTATTAGACATAATAAATGGGTGTCAAGTTTCTGATTGAAAGATATGATCTGTTTTGACGGTTTGAGTGTAATGTGGGTCCATTTTGTGGTTTCAGGGTATAGGGCATTATCTACGCTGGGACAGAATGAGTACATTTTTGTTTTGTCTAGGACTCCCAGACTTCTGACTCTACTAGAACCCTCAGAGAAGTCATGTTGACAGCTCCCATTCAAATCAATGGATTTCTGAAAAAAATCTAAAACAATAACATAAATAATTATATAATGGGATAGAAATGTGCTACATATAGATACAGAAAATACCAAGAAGATTTGCACATAAGCAGAGTATGATTACGCTTCCAAATAAAAAAAAATCAAGTTGACTGCCATGGATGTTCTAGTGTTAAGGCCATGCCATTAGTGTGACTCTGGCATTCATGAAGGGCACTGGTTTTTGGCCCAATGTGACTGATGTTTATTTTATTGGGTTGAACAAATGAAGCAAGTGTGCGTAGATGAAGGATCAGCAGGTGAACCCAAATGGATGTGACAGAGTGTGCAGTCAGCAGCAGCAGCAGCAGTGAGCCTCTTCACCTGCTGCACCTCAGATCTGCTGCTGTCATGACGACCTGAAGACAACAGTGTGAAGGCCCTCTGTAATCTCTACTGACAGCTACTGAGTCAAGCACTCATTAGGTTTTATGTATCTGTTGAGTTGTCATGCTGCATGGGAAAGAATTGTTAAATCTAATGCAAACCTCTGGCTAAGTATTCTCATGATTTGTGTGTGTGTGTGTGTGTGTGTCATATTTGTTTTTAACCAACACAAGAAGGGGCTGCACGAAGAGTTTAAATGAATCAGCAAATTTAGCTAACCAGGTCCAGCTTCATTAGTCCTATTTGTGTGTATAAAGTACTTACATTAATTACTTGTATTGGCACCTATCCTTCAACTGAAATGCAACTCTAGAAAATGAACACAACCCTAAACATTTGTGACGGATCAACATCTCAAATCTTTGGTTTTATGATAAAAATGGCACAAATGTTCACTGATAAAGTTAGGGGTTAATAGTCTAAATGTCTTCAGTATGTTTGTTTTTGTATTAATCGTGAGAAGCCGTTCCACAGTTAGGTGTAGAATTTGGTTTATTTTAGTTTAGTTGATTAATTGCTTACAACCAAAACAGTTTCACCTTCAAAATGTGACTTTCATAACACTATAAATGAGAATGTGCTGTCTATATTCTAAACAGTGTTCTGGTAATAGTCAGAATGTGAATAAATCTGTACCAGATATTCATGTCTCTTCAGGCTCTCAGATAATGACTTTTGAATAGCTTCCATGTTTCATTGGGTAGAATCCTGTGACATCCCTCTGGGCATGTGTGAGAGTGGGTATGTAATTACATATTCCAAGTTCATGAAATGTAACCCCAATAATAAATTCACAGAGATTCATCTGTACGCCACACACAAAATAAGTCTATGTTTCTTAATAAAATGCTACTACTTGTTTTATTTTGGAGTTAAAACTGAAACTTAGTGGCTTATTGTTGAACCCATTGTCACTTCTGATTCCTCACACATTATGATAATTGAAAGCATCCCACCTTTTTCTCCTGAGAAAAGAAAGTGGATTGTATTTCAACCACCTGGAGTGAAAAGAAAATGAATACACAAGCACAGATGCCAGGCCAGCATGGGGCAGGTTAAGTGGTGCCTTCTACTTTCCACCACAGGGGGCAGTAACGGGAGCATGCAGAGGCAGGACAGATGGAGACAGCTCAAGCATTTAGCTAATAAAGAGTTGGCTACATTTAAAAAAACAAAAAACCGATGTAAGTAGTCACAGCACGTATCTCACTAAACATGTATTGATGTATTTGTCACTTGTTCATTTTAATCTTTATTATGTGGCAAAGAAAAGTGTTACCTGCATTCACTTTTTCCGGAGGTGTCACATGTACATTTAGGATTATTACTGATCAGAGATATTTAGATCAGGTGGTGTGTGACATGCTGAGAAGATTATTTACTTAAAGGGGCATTATGTAAGATTTATGAATAATTCAGAATTTCAAAAAATTCCTCAACAAATGATCTTGAACAGTTGCAGGTTTTAGTGGTTGAGGGTATAGAACTCAGAGAACTTCAGTCCTGGCTGTGTCTTTCAGCAGCTTCATTCATGGCCTTTGGAAAATGTTATACCCAAAATCTTACGTAGAAGTAATGCAGAAGTATTGTAATATACATAAGGAAATAATTATGTATTTTCACTCTAAAAACTGCACAATATCTTCTGTACAATATCTAAGCAATGGTAAATAAAACTGACCATACAGGTTAAAGATCAATTTTATTTCCTAATGGTAAATGGCCATATTTCATGGCTTTCAACATCATGGGGTCCATACTTTGCTGTCGTCCTCGTTGTCACGGCGCCTGGAGCCTCTGCAGATAAGGTTCTCCTCCACCTCTGCTATCACCGTGCAGAGGCTGCAGTTGGAATTTATCAGCTCGACTCACGGGGATTCATTATTTTCCACTGCAAGATTATCAATCAGCAAGCTCTGATTTGATCAAGAATGTTCAGCACTTATTTGATATGCCTTAAAGTATCATATTGTTATAATGGTCTTCATGAGGTTCTTATCCTCACACAAACCTGTTGCAATTACTACAACATCAGTTCATCAGCTCCTTCAAAACTGTATCTGATTGGTTGATTCATGATTGTCCTTTATTCAATAATAGGCTTATTTTGCCTGTCCCACTGGATTAAAGTGAATGTCTGTTAGTTTTTAAATTGTGAAGAGAGAGATTTTGGTTTGACCATGCTCACACTCACAGCTTCCTTTTTGGTCAAAATGATTTCAAATCCTTGAGGCTCTTTGTCATTGGTTAGACTATACTCCTCAAAAAAATCTAGTAATAGTAATGCGAAGGGAAAGGACGGTTTTAAATATATTATTGTTGAAAAAGACTTGACTGTACATAATAATACAGCATCTCATTGTCGGAAATATGAAGTTAAATAAAATACTATTTAAGTTGCTGACTTAACCTTTAAGTGGTGAGCATACTACCATAGCATACAAACTACATACATACAATATTTTTATTTTTTTCTTGGTCTGGAAAAAAGGGGAAACATCGGACTAAAATATGAATCCTTTAAAAAGTATAGCTTAAAAAAAGAGAGAGAACAAAACTGAACTTGCTTTGTGGTCAAACATTCAAGCGTGATTAATACTTCTGGTCCAGTCTGTAACCTGTTTGCTGTGGATGTGAGTGAGAGTCAAACTGAATGGCCTAAATGCACTTTCCAATCGATACAACCGTGTTTGCACTGACCTGTACATTTGACCTGAGAGTTTAATTCTGCAAAGCCTGCGCCATCATTGTGGACTGTAGTCGGTCTGTGATGGAGAGAGGGCGCCGTGGACTCTCAGCTCTGTGTGGTTTGACACTGTTTTGCTGCTGGCGCCAGGACAAACTTTCACTGTCAGTTTAACGCATTCTAACCCTGCTCACCGACTCGTATCTTTGGCTTTAGCACAAGCAAATGCACGGAGGCTTTTTCTCTCGCCAAAACATAAAAAAACATGCAAAAAATAACTACTTCAATTATTTTCATGAGGGCTTGTTTCTATTTTTGTATCATAATCAACACACACAGGTTATGTTCATGATGTGATGTTGCTGAATTCTAAGGAGTTTAAAAAAATGCGGTGGAGGGCAATCTTTCCTACTATGATAAGTGTCAATAGTGAAACTTCTATAGTCTTAGTTCATATCTAATTACTCTCTAACTCTTTCAACAATAGTCCATTTTTTTCCCCAATAATGCGTCTAGAATTGGTGACAAAATGTAAATACATGAAGAATGATGTCGGCCAGTGAGGACTTTCAGATATAAGAATAAAAGTCCCATGAGGGTATATGATTCTTTCACTAGTAAACTCACTCTTCCACACACAATGTGGTAAAATATTTAGTTAAGTTTATAACAGTTAAAAAAAGAAAACCATCAATCTGCATGCTGTAAAAATAACAACGTGGTATTTTCTTGTCCAACCACTTAAGCCAATTGAATCAAATACAATATTATACATGTGATTTTTTTGCGAGTGCACAGGTAAACCAATCTCCCAGTCGTCAGCAGAGATAACAGACATATTGTTTCATGTTTTCAAGCCGGACAAACGTTCTGGTCGCCCTTCAGACTGTTTAGGGTTTTGCCGTGGAGCTGCGGAGGACTCACACAGCGGAGGGACGGGGACACGGAGCTCTGCGTTTGGCCCAAATACTGCACCAGGGACTGGATGTTACAGTCACAGTGCCAGGGGTTGTCATGGAGGTGGAGTTTCTGCATGGCTGACAGCACAAACACAGGGTTGGAGCACAAATTACAGATGTGAAGTTTAAATATTTAACTATGATATTATGTTATTACACATTCTTTTTTATTGATCAGAAAAATCTATGTCTTGACTCTTGACAGAAACTAAACATGAGCTTTAAAAGGTACTGTAGAAAAACGTGCCTGCTGTTGCATTGACAGCTGACTACTCCAGACGTGAGATGGGTATGTGTATAATATTTGTCTAGATGTTTCGTCTGGTGTGATGCAAGTGTTACCTGTCAGAGATGTAAACAGTTTTCCGTCCAGGGACTTGAGTTTGTTGCCACTGAGAGCCAGCTGAGAGAGGTGTGGTGTGCTTCTGAACAAGCCTGGAGGAAGGCTCTCCAGCTCGTTGTTCCTCAAGTACAGCTCCTGGAACATGTAGTTACTTTACTTTAAAGCAAATTAGTAAAAGATCCTATTATACTGTACGTTCTGGAGCGTTATTTTTCATTTTTTTCTTAATATTTGTGCTGCCCTTGAGTCAAAATGAGTTGCCACAGATGATTAAAATCACTGTCTAAAAGGGTGTAATTGATCCAGGGCTGGTCAAGTTATGGGAATCAAAATTAAGCTCAAAAAGAAGTATTTTTGGCATTTTTTAATCACTGTGGCAGGTCACATTGACACAAAGAGTAGTCTTTAAAACTGAAGGCAAGAATAGTCCTACCATTGCAGGCTATTTCAAAGTAAGTGTATACGTGCATGCAATTGATCTATATCATTAATCCTATAGTTGCAGCCTAGATTTGAGAAAATGCAAAGAAAATATGCAAATGTAGCTGACCTGCAGGTTGACCAGACCGTCCAAAACCGTAGCTGCTATTGTACTCAGAAGATTATTGTCCAAGACCAGCATCTCCAGCGAGCGCAGGGGTTTGAACACACTGACTGGAAGATTCTTTATGCTGAAGGAGACCACAGCAAATTCAAATGTTCACGTTTCGAAAAATTTATATTATTGTGTGTGACAGAATCCTGTTGACGTGGAGCAACGCAATTGACCCACTTTGCTGCAGTCATTGCGTGTGTGTGTGTGTTGTGTGTGTTTGTGGGTGCGTGACTGTTGCCTCTATGTAAAGTGATTTGAGGGCTTGGAAGGAGAAAAAAAGGCTCTGTTCAAAATTACCATTCAAAAGTGGCAGCAATATAATCTATAGTGTTCTCATAATGCAAACAATACAGTACAATAAAAATGTTAATTCCCACGGCAGTAACAAACCATGAACGGAAAACAGGTCGCAGATTTCAGAATGTGCTCTTCAAGTTGTAAGAACTCGCTTTGCATCTACCTGTTATTGTCCAAGTTGAGGAAGAGCAGTTGCTTCAGTCCAGTGAAGGCCTTTGCCGACACGGAGCTGATTCGGTTCATGGAGAGGTCCAGGACTTTGAGGGCAATGAGCTGCTTGAAGACATTTGGCTTGAGGCTGGAGAGAGCGTTGAGTGGAAGGTCCAACTCTGACAGGTTTCTCAGCCCTGCAAACATGTCCGGCCTCAAAGCTCCGATCTCATTCTGCCCCAGCATGAGGAAGCGCAGATTACGGGCGTCCTGTGAGAAAAAAGTAATCTGCTTACAGACAATCAAAAGTGAGTACTGACGTTTTAATCAGGAACGACTCAGGCGAAAAGATGTATTTGAAGGATGTCATTTGAGTTAGGTTTGCTTTAAGTATAACGTTTACAGCATGATTAGACACTTTGCTCCCGTAGATGTGTTATAAAGGATAAATTTGTTGATATTTGGAAAATGAAATAATGTCAAGTACTTTTCTGGACACCTAAAGATCCTTCAAACAGCATTACTCATTCACTTTATACACTGTGGTGTCCATACAAGAGTGATTTTTTAATGTTGAGGGGTTGGTGGGGAGGAGGCGGGTTACTGCACAAGCCGAGGTGAGGGAATACACTGGTTAGCAAAGTCAGGTGATGTAAAGAAGAGCTACCACGTGTGTAGGAGGGAGGAGACTGATGTGAAAAGCTGGGATAGTGACAAACGGAAGATATTCTAGTCTTCTCTGCTATATTTGTCATTCAGTCTTGCACCCAGGACTTTTGTTTGCGTCATATTGACAGATCGAAACGAATCAAGGTTATTATAATCAAGATTGAAAAGACCATCAACAACAATTATCCTGCTATATTGACTAAAATGATGTTAAATGCCAGTTATGTCAAATTAATGTTCTTTTTTTCTTTGTTTTGCTTTAGTCTTTTTATTTCATCAACTAAATCTTTTCTTACAATTAGTTCACTTTGGCAAATAATCAGTGATCACTTCATGTGACATGTAAGAATGTGGTTCTGGATAACCGCAAGAAATATGGTCACTTTCAACAATAGATAAGTAAATGAATAAATTAGATATTAGCTTAATATTGTTTATCCTCTTTCAGGACATGTACAGTATGTTAGTCCGACCTGGAGTCCTCGTGGTGGAAGTGTTGTGATGTGGTTGCCGTAGAGTTTCAACAGCCTTAGTTCCTTTGCCGCGGAGAAGGCCTGCGCATGGATGAATTTAATGGCATTTCGCTCCAAGTTTAGGCTTTCGATTTTGGGAACGGATTTAAGGAGACCAGCTTTCAGATCCGTTATGCCATTCTCACCTATAAAAACACAAGTTACACAACACAGCATTTTAAGATTAGCATTTTAAGATTAATAGATCCTTTATACGTCCCACAGTGGAGACATTTCAGTGTTGCATCACCAGTAAAAGTCGCCGTAAAAGTAAAATGGTAAAACTCTATTTGTGTTATAAGCCAAGGCATAAAAATGTGTCTTTAGACTAGATCTCAAAACTTCCAATGAAGGAGTTGCTCTAATGAACAGAGGTAGACTAAGATAAATGAACAACAACTCTATACTAAATAAAACCAAATAAAAATCTCTAACTGAATGAAGAACAAACAAGTATATAATCTTTAGCGTTATGATTATAGCGTTAGCATAATGAGTACGAAAAGCTCTGACTTTAGCATGATAAAGAAGGAATAAATCCCTACCTTTGGAATAATAAGAAATAAGTAGAAAGTACTGTGTTTTTTTAATGTTCTTATTGTAAAATGTATGTACAATCTTTGAAAATATGTAACCTGAGATCTAATGTACATAATGGCCGATCTGTACAAAGTGGACACATGTGGTTCTATATTGCACATATTGACATTGTTAAAGTTATTATTGCACGGATGAGTACAGTAAGTAAATTTGCACAAGTTACACAACACAACCATAGCATTTTCGCACAAAACTCGCATCGCTGCTTCCACTCACCCAGTTTGAGATTCCAGGTGTCGGAGGGCAGGCCGGACGGGACGCTGAGGAGGCCTCTTTTGTGACAGTTTACCTCGGTCTTGCCAGGTCCTGACTTCTGGGAACACTTACAGGACTCAGGACAGGCGCTCACAGCCTGTGTCAGACAGAGCAGCCCCAGGGTCACACAGAACCAGGTCTGCATGGTTCTGAAAGAGACGGGAGAGGTCGAGGTTATATGTCATATCATAACATTCACTTCTGTCTGATAGTATTCATATATACTGTTTACTATAATGAATGTTTAGGATACAACAAGTTTGTGATGAATCAAATTTTTGTTATTGTTCTTTGCTCATGCTTGAAATAAAAATAAAAATGTATTAATTCATAGTGGATAGAGCTCAAGGCTGGTAAGATTGTGTTGTAGGTTGTGTTAACGTGTTTGTAATGATGTGGAGGGTATTGGAAAAATTGTTCCTGGTAACAACAAGTGAAACTCAAAAGATTAGAATAACGTTGAAAAAAGTTCATTTCTTTCTGTAATTTAACTTAAACCAGTATATTATAAAGACTCAGTGCACGAAAGTGACAAGCATTTAGTACGTCAAGCCTTTACTAATTTTAATGTTTTTGGCGTACAGTTCACTTTCAAAATGTTGTAGTTGTATTTGAGTTTTTTTTACAGGCTTTGAGCCATTATTATAATCATTATAACAAAAAAGGGCTTTTTTATTTCTCACTTACATGTAATAAGTCTGTCACATTAGTTTCACTTTGAACACTATTCTAATTTACAGGTAAATCCATATGAAAAAAAAATCTTGTTTTTGTCATCGACTAAATTATTAAAATGTCTTTCCCATGAAGGTGTCACCTGCCCTCCAACTGAAAAGGCAGGTAAAGCCCTTTGTGATATACTTACTTATAAATAATAATAATAGATAAATAATAGATAAATTGGATTAATAATAATAATAATAGATAAATATATAGAATTTTATAAAATGAATGCAACCTTCTGTTAAAAGTGTGGATTTGTTGCTCTGGATTATGATTCATATCACATAATTAATGATGTATTAATTTATCTTCACTTTCAATTCAATATATTCTTTGTATAGCCAAAAACCACTCAGGCTGTCACCTCAGAGGACTTTACAAATTTGTCGATTTGCCAAAAATAAAATATTTTCATGAAATGTCCTTAGTTCAGTCAAAATGAGCACATTTTATCAGTGTTACAAAAATGTGCAAAAATGTTACATGGTTAATTTTCACTTTGATATTTTTCCTCGTCAAGCCAAACATTTACATTAAAGAATCCACCCCCCGTCATTAAAAACCAAAACAAAGATGGAACTTACCAAAACGGTCAGATTGCCTCAATGGAAATCCAGTTTATTTCATTCCTCCTGCTGTAGGACCTCGGCACATGGACCTCACCTCGTCTGTTAAACCCAGACACAGAAGCTTCTACTTGTGCACAGTGACACAAGTGTGAAATTCACAGACCCATGATTCCAGCCGTCTCACAGATCCCAGAGAAATGTAGCATCTTTTATCCACTGCTGATACGAGGTCAGCGCAGGACAGGCCATGGTCCGTTTGAGTTTGAGACGTCATATTTTAAAAGAATTATTCTGGTCGGGGGCTAATTTTAAAAACATAAGAGCTGGTTGGGGCCAAATGTATAAAAGTGGTTTTTATACATAATTTTGGATGTTATTTTCTAGTATACAATTAGAGTAAATCGCAACCAGGAAAAATATGTAAAAAAGTATGATTGAAGATCGATAGTAAAATATGAAAAATAAATATTAAAACCCTTGTATTATGTTAAGGGTCAATTTGACCCATTTCAGTTTTTGTGTTTTTGTGTTGTTGTACTGGTTATCCTTTCTTTTTCTTGCTGAAATGTGGTGACTTTTCCTCATCTAGGGTCATGAACTGGTGTGTAAAATCTGGACACTTTGATGTGTAGTGGAATGTCTGTGCAGCGTTTGTATACAAAGATGATGTTGCGGGTCATTTTGACCCAGACGCTTTAATATGGGTAAATAGTTGTTCAGATCCAAAATAAACATGTCTCTTTGATGTACAACTGTTTGTATTTTGATTGCCTCTGAAACCAGAGCCAGGTGTGTGAAGACACTTGTTCTTGTCACTGTTCTCATGTCATCTCTTCTGCCTAGCGTACATCGTACTGGCAACAGAGAGAAGGAAAACATTATGAGAAGAAGGAAGGAGAAAGCATGGCAGGAGGAAAGAGGGAGGGAAGAATTGTCATTTTGACCCGAGAGGAGGACAAGAGGAGTAGACTAAATCTTTCTTAAATATAGCGTTGGAATTAAAAATGTATTGTATGTTACTTTTTCTAAATATTTATATAACCTAAAATAAAGTTGTTATTGGTTTAACCTGTTTTCTTGACTGTTTTGAGTGCATTTACACAGTACGGGTCAAAATGACCCGCAACATAATCAATGTCATTTTTTTTCAACATAATACAAGGGTTTACTTAACTTCTATATTACGAGTTATTTAACATTTTATAACAGATTCAATTATATGGTTGTCTTTTCTGAGAAACTAAGCTTTAAAATGAAGAATAGCATGCCATAATTTTCCATTACCATCAATGCTGCAAGTTACGGTGATAATGATTATTGAAAATCATTTGAGTGGCTCTAAAAATGGTCTTGCGGGATTTGGCCCACGAGCCTGCGTTTGACAGGCCTGATTTAGATTATGAAAACCATAGGCTCTAATCTGCATTATGTGTATATTGTCTGGACTCTCACTCCAAACAGACTTGTACACATATTGTTTTTATGTTTATAACTTTTATTCAATCTGGAAAGAGTCATCAAAGATTGCATCAAAGTCATCAAAGATGCGTGAACAAACACCAGCAGACTGAGGTTGAGTACTATTATATCTATTGATAAGCTTTGGCGATTAGACCCTGACAGGAATACTGCATGACATGTGCAGAAGGCACGGAAGCTGAGCCGTAGACAAGACATGATACTCCCCCAAAAAGGCGGTGATGGGGAGGAGGTGGGTTGCTGCTCGAACAGCAGCTTGAGCTGCAGAGAACTGAGAGGCTCTGTTTAAATGCAGCCATGATGAGCACAGGTGTGTTACTGAGCAGCTGAGGCTGATTGCTGCAGGTGTGTAGAGGGAGGAGTCCGGTGTGCCAGCATGACGTCCCTTTGGTCTTTCAGTCTGAATTTGCGCTTAAGCTTCATATTAAATTACATTAAATTCAACTGGATTCAATTTACTCATAACTTTGAAACCACAACAAATTATGTGATCCAGATCCTCGCTCTCAAAACATTTTGGTTCTTTTGGATAAGCTTTATTCAGCCAAAAGAGAGAGTGCCCACTGATCTTATGTCTTCTTATAACAAAATAAAAACAGCATGTTGTGGTTTGATATGTTCACAAAATGTTCACAAACAAGACTCTCTCTGTTGGGATGAAGAACTATTTATTCATGAAACAAAAGGGTTAGGTACTCCAGCAGCTTTAAAATGCTCAAGAAGGCTGTGAAGAATCCCACCTGTTTTCTGGCGCTGCAGCTAATGAAGTGTTGTGCGTCCTCCCTGTGGCAGCTGATCATAAGTGATCCACTGCTGTTGTTACATCTGCCACATTCACAAAGTGTAGATATGGAGAGATTGAACCAGACACATTTACTTTATGGGCTTCTGAGTCGCAGCTGATTGAGTGTAGGCCTCACAAAGTCGATGCTTAGAGCTCCCAGAAGGCCCGGCCCCTCAATATATAGTGTGTTCAGCATTCTGACATCTACTGGTGTAAGACTAGGATTTGACACCAGGCTAGCAACATAATCTGATATTAAGAATGTATGTTTGTTTTATCCACTCCTTGAAGAAAGCAATGTATTTTTTTTCTTTTTTGGATTTTTTAAGATGTAAGTGCACTAATAACACAAATGTTTTTTGTTTTATGGACACAACAGTTACATTGGACAGACCAGAGGCACTGCCTTTAATGTTATAGCAAGACCATGCTAATTTTCAACACTTGTCCATAGAGGGCTTTTAGGACACAAATTCACAGATTTAAAATTTACAAATATAAAAGTAATTCAATATACAGTTCATTAATCATGTGAACAATGTTGTAGCAATTTCAGCTACAGTTTCAGACGTCTGACATCGATGTTCAAGTCCGTTTGTAGTTTTAGGTCAGTGGGAAGAGCGTTCCACAGTTTGGCTCCATTGAAGGAAAAGCTAGACTGTCCCAACAATGTTCTGGACTTAGGAACCAGACAGTCCCCACTGGCTGAGGCTCTGGTGTTAGGCCTTCGAGAGCCTTGACATCTGACAGCCAGACCAGAGAACAGCGGTGGAACATGATCAGTTAAACATTTAAAAGAAAACCCTATTTTTTATGTATAGGCTTTTACCAAATGGCTGAGATGCAGTTTGATGGTAAAAGTGCCTAAAACCAAGTGAGATGCTCCATAAAGGTAGATTTTAGTTCCACGCAAGCAGACATGTTGACTCAAATCATTCTGAAAAAAAGTGTCCACCAGTCAGGGTTAGGGTTGGGGTTAGAGTCAGGGCTCTCCAAGCTTCGTGTTAGGGGTCTCCAAGTTTCATTACGATTGGACAGCTACTTTTACAAAGGAAAAATCACAGAGACCTACGACCTTTTGAGCTCATAATACAAATGTAAAAAATATATATAATATTGTGGAAAAGGCCATTTACTTCTGTATTTCAAATTACAATGTAAAACAAATATGACAGATGTATCACATGTAAAGTGAGAAATGTCAACCCTTTTCATAATGTTAATTGGCTCACAGCTTGTAATAATTTTTTTCACATCTGGAAAATGTTATGTCAGCCACAATAATGGGAATAATAACAAAGGCATATGTTGGTGTGTATGGCACTTTGAGTCGATATCATCCATTGGTTTCAAATTTTAACGATGAATTACAGAAATCAATGAGCTTCTGGATAATATTCTAATTTTTCGAGTTTCAAAAATGATAGAAAACCTGATGAAAATATGTGCATGGAACACATATATTACCTGTTTTCGTTCACTAATCGTAAAAATAATACGTAGTGAATATAAATAGACAGACAAATTATAACAAGTGTAACAAATACAAAAAATATGTAAATAGTTAAAATCTTTAGCAGCATCTTAAATCTTTATGTCTATATGCTTCTTCCATAAACCTTTTGAAAACAAATGTTATATAAAAGAAACAATACAACAGATTTAGAGTGAAATTTTATGTTCATAGCTGCCATTTCTGACAATCTGTAAAAAATGTGAAAAACAATTAAATCTGCACCAAAAATGATTCAAAACGTTCTAAAATGACTTCTACACAATCGCTTTAAAAATGACCTAAAATGTACAGATTATAAACACAGTGGTGGTTTACACATAAACAAAAACATATGATCAAACTTTAAAAAAAAAAATTCAGATGGGCATTGCAACTGACCGGGAGAAAGATATATCATGAGAAAATGTTGCTGATTACTAAAAACAATGAATTTATATGATTTCAAAGATGATCTCAAAGCCTGCTCACAATATTTAGTATTATTCAAATTCCCGCAGACAGAAAAAGTATTTTGGACATATCCCAGTACAGCTCAATGCAGATTTGTAAGCGAGGTAATGACGACATCTTGTGGTGAAAATTAAAATTGCATAGTCTTTTTTTTTCTTTTCTTTTGACAGCTCCCCAAATAAACATTAAAAAGAATAAAAATAAACACTGGTAAACCTGATTTAAAGGTGTGGTTTCCAAAGCCACTGTGACGACTCCTTTTCTTTGGTTTATTTGCTTAGTTTTTACACCTCAAAAAACACTGAACGGCTTTAGACTCTGTTTGGACGGACGCGGTTGATGGGCCTGTCGCAAGGATTATCAGTCAATAAATAGTGGCTCACACAGTATTTTTCTGGTTCAATGTCGATTATCTCATTTCTATATTTAGTTTGTAGTAGTGGAAATGTTTAAAGCTGGGATACCTAAACTATTGAATATAATCCATAACACATTCCTGGCTCTAAAACTTGTTTGTTTTAGCCTCTGTCACATTAGACTACACTAGATCAGTCATGTCAAACTCAGGCTCGTGGGTCAATTCCAGCCCGCAAGACAGTTTTAAGTGGCCCCTACACATGATTTTCAATTATCATTAATAACTTGCAGCATTGATGGTATTGGGCGACCAAGGTGTGTCATACATTTTAACCCAACACATCATTAGAAGGTAAATAGAGAACAATAGTTGGTCCAGTTTTGGTTAAATCTAAACAAACACATTTTGTTTTCAGAAGAATCCACCATGAAGTGATAACAAAACATAAACGTTTTAAGTGTCATGAAACAAATTATGTCAAAATTGCTTCATAATGTAAGAAAAACAATAATGAGAAAAGGAAATCCCTTCTATTCTTTTGGCCCCTGACCATTTACTATTTTTTTTATTTGGCCCCTGACCAAAATGAGACACTCCTGCTTTAGACCTTATTTTTCAGAATAGAAAACCCACCCTCACTCAGCCAAACAGTGACTCGCACGGACGTTTTACTTTTACATGACTGTTCTGCACAAAACATTTTTATTCATGCAGAAAGTAAAGTTACGTACCCCAGCTCTAAATTATGTTCTCCTGCTCTATTTTAACTGTATGTGGCAAAAAATACTAGTTAAATTGTATTAAGTTACAATTTATGTCTGAATCCATAGAGTCCACACGTTTAAACATATTATTATTGCGATAGGCCCGGAAGAAATTATATAAATATTTGTTATTCTTGGCAGTTTCAGGCATTACCATGTGCATACACCCCTGGTTTAGTGCTGGAATGGACCTGGAGCAGTCTGTGTTACGATTATATTGAAATGCATGTACAAAGTCTGCCCCCTGCTGGTTATTGAACACATCTGGAATACCACATCTGAACTCACGACTTAAAAAACTAAAGTCTCCTCTTGCTCCATGTGTCCATAACAAAATAAACACCAAAATGACATCTTTGGATTACAGCCGGTTGAACGTCTCTGTCTGTGCGAGCTTATGCAGTCTGTAGATACGTTTTAAGTCGTAGCGTCTCTTCCACTGATATCCTGTCGTGGTAAAAACTCAGTCCTGAGAGAAGCTCGATGTCCCGAACTCGGGCTGTGTGGAACTTCATCCACTCCTCTGCCCACGTCTCTATCTGCTGCGACTGCAAACACAAGAAGACAGGTCAATGTACTAGAGCCAACTGAACAAAAGATTTAGAGCAATTCTTTGTAATTCCCTGGGCCAATCCGCATCTTCTTTATCAGCACACATCAAATATGGTGTAATTATTTTATCATAAAAGTGGTGACAATATTCAACAAAAATGCAGGATGTTGTCCAACAGAAAAAACTTTCAGACTATGGCGAGTTCAGTGGAGTTTTTCTTGAATAGTGATCCAGGAAAACATTGATATTTTATTTTTCAAAGTTATATACTTATTTTGAATCTTATTTCCTATATATAGAGTTGTATGGGCTCTTCTTTTCAAGTGCTAGTATTTAAATAGTATTTTATCAAGGCAGTAATCTCTTTGAAGTCAAGAAAGATGGCATGCACCAATGAAATCGTCATATTATACAGTATGGTAATCCTATAGAAAAATAAACAGCACCAGAATGAAATACTTAGAACAACAAATATATTCATCTTCATAATGATTACGATAATTGTTTCAATGATTTAAATTAGGTTAAGAAATAAATGTAGAATTGGCTTGCAGATTTGCTATATCTTGTTTGTAACTTGGGCAATAAGTGTCAACCATAAACCAACATATACAAATAATCAATATTTGTTAGATGAAATTGTTCTTATGTGAATGTTTCTGTTGTTGTTGACTGATTTAGTGTAAATGTTATTGATCCAGAAGGGACTTGAAAGAGCAAAATTACAGGTTTGTGATTGTTAGTGTGCTTATAAGTAATGCAGTGAATTGTACTGACGTCACAGTCGTATCTGTAGACCGCTCTGTGGGGCAGGATGAAGGCCTGGACTGAGAGTGGACCGGAGCAGGACTCTGGACTCAGACTGGAGTTTCTGCAGCTCGTCAGAATCACGAAGAAATGTGTCGGTGTCGGGGCCAGAAAACTTCAAAGAAAAAGAAAAGGCTTAGAATAAATATCCGGCTGTTGGAGAGAGTGACATGCTGTGCAAAAAATATTGTGCAACAGAAATCCAATCTATGAATAACAAAAATAGGGCTACACTTTGATCCTCCTCCTTCCTGTCTGGAAAATGAAATATTGAAATAAATCTCCAAATGTTATGAAAGCACATTTACAAATACATACATATACATTGTTTACAATACAATACAATTCAAAGTGATGGAAATACAGACTGTAACACTAGCCAACGAAGACTTACTCTATAACTGGTTTTGCTTTATCCACATTCCCGTCGTAGTCTTCGTCAAATATAGGTCCACTGATGACATTGACCCCGTTCAGCTGCTTGGAGTATTTGGGGAGCAGGGTGGAATGGAAGTATTCCCAAATGGCTGTCAAGGTAAGAGTAGATACATTACTACAAGTGTAAAGTATAAGCTGACACTGTAAATACAATAGGAGTGCATGTATACTCTCTATCTTCATTCTACAACATTTATGGACATTTATCAACATGCATGGACATTGGTCAACTCCCCTATGGACCAATACCTATGTTTGATTCTCTGATCTGTGTTGGCGATTTCAAGGGTTTTGTTAAGTCCTTTGACATACTGTAACTATTGCTGTGAATTACGGCTATACAAGAGCATGGTGTAATTCAATTAAATCAAAAGAGCCCCAAATCTTTGAAAAAAGTGCATGTATCAGAAAAATAAATAACTAAAACTATTTAAAAAGGTACAGTTTGGAACATTTCTGGTGCCAGCTTTTAGTAAGAAATAGGACATTTCTTTGGCTGATTTATTCCACAGTATGAAGTAAGAAGGCGGTGTCATTTTGTTCTTATTCCTTTATATGTCGACTTAAGATTAATACCATCAAATATAAAGTGATTTCAGAATGATTCCCACAGAAATAAGCAGGGGACAAATTCACAACCCAAAAAAAATGCATAAAGGTACGTAATACTACAACTTCAAAACAACGGAAAGGGAAAAAAGAGCCTATGCAGCACGATCTAATGTCCACTAGGGGGCAGCAGGCTGTAACATCAACAGAGCTGCACGACAAGTGGAAACCTGTTTTATTCCCCAATTGAAAGATATTTATTCCTTTCTTGAGTGAGTGAAACCCTGAAAAGCTGAGAACAAGTCACAACAAAGCACGCAGCATGACACAAGGTTGAGGATTCCCTGAGTAATGCCACAACTTTCTGTGAGAATGAATTGAATCATTTAAACAAGAGGAAAGTATTTTCCAATCGTCATTGGTAATCTCTTTAATCTCATAATGATGAATGTTTACTGACTGATGACAGGGGACTCTAGTTTCGAAATATAATGGTTTAATAGTAAGGGTTAGGGTTAGGGTTAGTATTCTTTATTTATATAGCACATTTTACCGACCAAGGTCACACAAAGCGCTTTACAATGTTCAGAGTTCAGATATTGTTCCATTCTATTCATGGTGATGCAAGAAGTGAGACGCCGGACACACTGGAGCATCAAAGCATCTGACCAACTCCATCCATTCACTCACTCATTACATTCATACTCATTGTGCATGTTTTTAGTGATAGGGAAAACCGGAGCACACGGAGGAAACAGACACAGGAAAAACATGCAAACTCCACTCAGAAAGACCCTGTTCCGACCCAGGAGCTTCAGCCACCGTGTTGCCTAAATAATTATCATTCTTAGTTTCTTTTGTGATATAGATATTGTGTGTGAAGTGTATCCATCACTGCTAAACACTACAATCACTTATTTGATCTGGTGAGTCAGAAAGAGAAGTATCAAAAATTAAACAAACAAAACACATGTAATATTAGAGGTATTATTAAAAGGTATATTAATAAAACTAATCAATATAATTCATTCCTAAAAAAAGGTACAGGTATATTAAAAACATTTATCAGAATGTTATAAACAAACCATCTGTTTTATAATTTTTATTTATTTGTTAAATGTTTGCGAATTAACACTTTCTTCTTCTTCTGCACATTCCCGTCTTGGAAAAGTGTCTGATGAGATGAGTAGCTGGCTCACCTCTGCAGTCTGGCTCAGTCTGTGGAGATAAATATCTGAAGCACGACTCACCGTGAAAGGCAGGAAACATGGGGACCATGTTAGTGTTGAGCAGAGAGTCCGACCCAGGCCCGTCTGAGGAGCAGAACCACATGTCACGGCACCGCAACAAATATGTGACTGTATGTACTGTTACAGAGCAAACACATGTGTTACTGAAAGCCCTGTTTCCACCTGACTCTACTCGGCTCTACTCTACTCTACTCTACTCTACTCTACTCTACTCTACTCTACTCTACTTTACTTTACTTTACTCTACTCGGCTCTACTCTACTCTACTCCACTCTACTCTACTCTACTCTACTCGGCTCTACTCTACTCCACTCTAGTCTACTCTACTTTACTCTACTCGGCTCTACTCTACTCCACTCTAGTCTACTCTACTCTACTCTACTCTACTTTACTCTACTCTGCACTACTCTACTCGGCTCTACTCTACTCCACTCTACTCTACTCTACTTTACTCGGCTCTACTCTACTCCACTCTAGTCTACTCTACTTTACTCTACTCTACTCTACTCTACTCTAGTCTACTCTACTCTACTCCACTCTACTTTACTCGGCTCTACTCTACTCTACTCTACTCGGCTCTACTTGGCTCTACTCTGGTCTACTATACTCTGTATTCTACTTGGCTCTACTCTACTCCACTCTACTCTACTCTACTCGGCACTACTTGGCTCTACTCTACTCTACTCTACTCTACTCCGGTCTACTCTACTTTACTCTACTCAGCTCTACATGGCTCTACTCTACTCTGGTCTATTCTACTATACTTTACTCTACTCAGCTCTACTTGGCTCTACTCTACTCCACTCTAGTCTACTCTACTCTACTCAGCTCTACACGGCTCTACTCTACTCTACTCTACTTGGCTCTTCTCTAGTCTACTCTACTATACTCTACTCGACTCTACTCTACTCTACTCAGCTCTACATGGCTCTATTCTACTCTACTCTAGTCTACTCTACTTGGCTCTTCTCTACTCGGCTCTACTCTACTCAACTTTACTCTACTCGGGTCTACTTAACTCTATACTCTACTCCACTCTAGTCTACTCTACTCTACTCTACTTTACTCTACTTGGCTCTACTCTACTCTACTCTAGTCTACTCTACTCTATTTTACTCTACTCAAGTCTACTCTATTCTAATTCAGGGACATTCACAACAACAATGAACTATAAAATTACAGTCCAGTCTCAGTTTTCACAGCAGTGTTTTCAGGCAGAAAAGTTTAAAAGAGACCGCTGTTGCTTTTGCCTACTTTATAGTGTGCAGAAGATAATGTTCTTTTTAAAAATGGTTGGATTTGTTCACAACATTTTACTTTTACAAGACTTTCAACACAATGTAAGATTACAGCAACAAATATAGTTAGGTAAACCAGCTTTCAAGTAAAAGTAGGAGTTGAAACTGAGGTAAGAAGTTCATATGTTTCTATTTAGCAGCGATCGGAAGCAGCGCAGTAGAGTAAGGACAAGTCCCTTTGATAACTGTAATAGATCACATATGTCGCAATGGTTCTTGGATATCTTGGAGGTTAGTCTGGGATAGAACTTGCCCGTTGTCAGTTTGTGCAGTGTTTGACCAGACATAGCTATAATAAGTTCTACTGCAGTTGGTGAGACCTCTATCATTCAACAATAGACGGAGAGGTACAGAATTAATTTTAGTCGAGGTGAATTATATGAAATGATAAGTATATTGTGCGGGCGACAGTAGCTCAGATCGTAGAGCATTGGCCTTAAGGCCAGAAGGTCGTGGGTTCAATTCCCACCTCTGCACCTTCTCCATCGACTCCCACTGATGACTGCTGTCGTTGTGTCCTTGGGCAAGACACTTAACCCCACTTTGCCCAAAGCCCCTACTGAAAGATCAAGGCTATGCTCACAGTCAGAGAGCAGCCGTCCTCCTGTGGACTCACCACCTGCAGAGGGTCAGTGAGGGGCTGGTGCTATGAGACTTGGGTGGCATCTCTGATTGCCACCCCCCTGACCCAGAAATGGATTAAAGGGTAGAAGATGGATGGATGGATAAGTATATTGTATGTCTTTCTTTTTGTACTGATTTTTCCTCTTTTGTGGTCTTGGAAATCTATTTGATTGAATAGAAAAAATAAGAAATTACTTATGAACGCTTATTTGTTTGTTCCCGTCGCAAACATATTGTATACTGTAGGAGGATATAAGTGCTCGTGTTTTGTAAGGAAGCGGGTAAAACCAAAGGAAGTAATTTTATCATATTAAGACATTGAAAAGAGAAGGAGGGGGTGTTAAACTTGATCTCAGTCATTGTCAAACGGCAGTGAATTGTCTTTGTCTCACAACTATTTTTTTCTTGTACACAGCCCACATCTTTTCATTGTGTACTTCAAATAAAACTAAACTAGAGTGAAACTAAACTTAATAGTCAAAACTTTTTTTGCTAGACTTTTACAGTTTAAAGTTTGTTTGATTTTGGATGTGTGGGTATTTTTTTCTTTAAGAGAGTGAACATTTTTGAAGACAAGCACTGGTTGAACTCGCCCATGCTCACTCCTGCAGCTTCCTGATTGGACAAAATAACTTAAAATCCTTTATGCTCCTTGTCATTAGTTTGAATATTCTCCCCAGCAAATCTTACTGGTCATAGTTCTGCCAATGCGAGGGACTATTTTGAATATAATATTGTTAGAAAAGACTTACTGTACAAAATAGTACAGTGTCTTATTTTGGATGCTGACCTCACCTTTAAGTTGTGGAGGTAATTTTGTGCAAATAATTTGTTTTATTCAAGATGAGTTTGATCTTTCTTTTATAGCAAATAACAATCTCTCTCTCTCTGTCACTCTCTTTTCTGGTAGATTTTTTTTCTGAATATAATTAATCCAAAATGGCGCCCTATTCAAATGAATGGCTTGTGCTCAGTAGCACATGGGACTTCACGGAGACCGGGGGATTAGGAGAACTCGCCTATATTTGGGCATCGTCTGGTCCTCCTGGTTCTGCGCAGTGGATGATGCGTTGCGCCAAATACACGTGTGTGGCACTCATGCACGCGCACAGAGGGGCTCAGCTGCGCTCTGACCAATCAGAGCTGCTCATCAAAGCAGCAGCAGAGTGGAGTCAGAACGGGAAGGAAAGGAAAGGAGCAGAGTTTGTGGCAGTAAAGTGTGGATTTAAAGAAAACCGAAGGATTTAAGAAAGAAAAAAGTTCAGGATGACAAGGGACACTAAAATCCCCACAAAATCCAATATTTCTGAAAGCTGTAGGTTCTCTGTCAGCTGAGGTCGAGCTGTTTTAGTTTACATTGAGTTCTTTGGGACTTTTTTCTGGGTAGCCCGTGGGATTTTTGTTTTGCAGTACCAGCTTTAAGCCATTAATACCTTATCCAGTAATTATTATCAATAAATCAATCAATCTTTATTTATAGGGCGCTTTCCTGCACAGGGGCAACACAAAGCGCTCACAGTCCCACCACACAATGCACAATCAATCACCATAACATACAATTAAAAACACATATGTAATTAAAAAGCATTAAATCACATAAGTAAATTTTAAAAACATAAAAATCACACAAGTAATTAAAAACAATAAAATAGTTAAAAACACAAAAGTTACAACAATAATAACAGGTGTGTTAAAAAGATAAAATTCTCTAGTTGTATGCACGGGAAAAAGAAAGTCTTTAACATGGATTTGAACATTGACAGAGAGGCAGCCAGTCTCACATCCTCAGGAAGACCGTTCCAGACTCCATGCTGCATAAATCTGAAAATCCATGGATTTAACTCATACTAGACTAAGGTAAAGGAGTCTGCATTATTGCAGACTTATTAAAAATACATTTAACTAATTATTTGGGTTAAATTTTCAGAATAACACGGTTTTCCAAAAGATTCAAGAGTCAAGAATTGATTTGCTATTTGCAGAAAAACCACATTGTAAAAACTGTGCAAGACTACCTCAGTGTGCACAAGAAAATAGCACACACCAGGGCTCCTGCCACAGCGCCATGCAAAATGATGTATTACATGCCATGATAGCCATAAACTTCTTATCATAAAGTGGAAAGTAATGTACAGTTTGCCCAATCTAAGGATTATGAGCAAATTAATAACAAATCACCTTGTTTTTCAGGGTGGTGACGTTCTTGAATTAGAATGGTATTACTCATGCAAACTACTGTGTCTTCAACTCTTCAAATGAATGAAGAAAACTCAAGATCAAATTAAAGTCACTGCAATTATATCACCCATAACAACACATTCCTCTCTTTGTGGAGCCCTTCACCTATGCAACCTGCGCAACGGTTTGAGCATAAATGACACTGTGACCCCTTTGTGACCGTGTGGACGTGTCAGGATGAATTGGACATAGATTTTGGGGACACTCACTGGGCGGGTGCAAGAGCCCGAAGGTGAGCTCCGGGTCATCTCCGTAGCGACTGCACATCTGCAATTGGGATGGGTCAATGCGGACGTCGGCGCGCACACACGAGCTGCTGGGAGGAACCACTTCTGCCTGAGAAAGAGAGAGAAACCATTTGGCCAAAAACTAAATGTGTTGTTGTGCAAGAAAACTGTCAGTCAGTGAGGACAAAGCAAAGGCACTAATGTGGTCTTTTATAGAGTTGTAATGAGGTCAAGGCTCATTTTAGAACAAATCTGTGCGTCTGGAATGAGATAACGAGGCTGAAAGTTTCAAATTTGAGAAAGGCATTTGAAACATTTGTCTACAAGTACGAGTTAAGAGTAGCAATAAAACAAAAGAATGCCTACGGATATCAGTGAATCTGACACTGTGTCAGCATTCGCGGAGGGGAATGTTCACCATATCTCTAAAAGATCCACCATAAATACAAAACTAACCACAAACGTGCAGACATATAAACTGCATGTTTGAAATATGCAGTATTTGTTTTACTATAAATAATAGACTTGATATTTTATAGGTAAATACGCAAACGTTTCTTAAACTTCTACCTACTCCTGAGTAATCACTATAGCGTCCCATGCATAGACTGTGTATAAATGGACTATGCTGGCCTGTTAGCTCAATGAAGCCCAAGAGGGAAGTGCTCAAGGAAAGTCTAGCTCCATCTCACTTTGGCTCCAAATGACTTACACTGAAAAGTAAACTCTGCTAACTCAGTAACTGATTGTGTCATACTCACCCTTTTTTGGTTTAGCACTCTCTAAGATCCTTTTATATTGTCTGTGTAAATTCAGATAGGAGCCATAAGGATTGACCCATCTGATGCCTTCATTCGCGGGGGAAACTCCAGCTTAGCAAATCAGAACAAATGCCCATAAAAGGAAATAAGTCTGCTTCTTCCACGTTCAGCAAACACTATGTTTACATCACACAAGTCCAGTCTTAATATGCAATATATAGTCCCATGTTATGTAATGCAATACACAAATTGATCTGCCTCCTTTCAAGACATTGTATACATTGTTTGTTGTACTGCCCTTCCTCAGGTCCAGTACATACATATCAACAGGTTGTTACTGTTTCAGATATGCATTGTACATGTATACAACGTAGACAAATGGTTAAAATGGTTCACAACCAAAACATTGTGACAAGAAACTAACCACAGAACATATTTATCATCCAACTTCTGACTCGTCCTCCTTTTTATTGCCTGAGTCTGACACTGAAAAGACCTGGTCCAGACAGATCTAGATTATAGTATAATGTGAAACCTTAAGGTCAATGTGTTGCAGTGTTTGGTTTTGGCAATGTTATGAACAGATGAGCAACAGCTGCTGAAGTCATTCTGGCCTCCGAAACACATTTGTGTAGAGTCTTTCAAACAAAAACCATTTCCAATTCCACAAAAACCATTTGAATATCACATTGTCACACACTTGGCGCCGTGTCACATACATTGCAGTCAGTGCCCTAGCCTGCTAGCTTTACAATCTTGTTGTTTTAAACCTATCAAATTATTACAGAAATTAATGCCACGAATAACCACGACACTCAATATTCAACAACATTTATGGACATTTATCAACACTTATGAACATTGGTCATCTGCCCCTTTTGGAACAATAACAATGTGTTTTTTTTAATACTTGGAATTCTTGTTTTTAAACGGTTTGATTGTTTGATCTGTGTTGGCGAATTCACCGCTTTTGTTGATTCCTCAGAGATAACTACTGTTGTGACATGGTGCTATACAAGAATACATTGAATTGAATTGAACTGAATTGAACTGTGTTGCACTCACCAGGGGCAGGTGGGTGTAGGAGACCCAGAGGGGCATCAGTCTGTCCTGGCTGTAACCACTAATGAAGTCCCGGTGATGGAGCAGGCAGAAGGAGACTCCATACTCCACCACACGAGGGGTGCCGAAGGGCTGGTGCCGCCTCCGTAACTGAGCTTTGGCGGCTGGAGAGGGCACACATTTAGTATCAACAAAAAATGAAACACAGCCCATACATAAAGGGAAAACAAAGGAAGACTCTCACCAGAATCTACGCTTAGAAGTTGTGTGTTCATCTCTTTTTGCTGAGAAAGAAATAAATGTCATCAATGAATTGGTATTTACAGTTATCAGCCTGAACATGTATCTCTACGAAGAAGAGTCACACCAAAAGGAAGAGCCGGAGAACACACCTCACAGTAAGATTTTTGCCAAACCGTTTCTTTTAATATATTCAATTTAAAGTTATTCAGCCACCCTAAAGTTACCTAGTGTGCCTTCACTGAAAACTGTGAAACGTACTAACGCAAATGCAAATGCAAAGTTATATAATTATACATTTTTAAGAGTTAAGATACAGTAAAAAGAACATATTTTTCTTTACGTATGCCAGTAGAAATTAATTTGGTTGAAAAAACTGATCCAAAACATAAGGTATTTTAACCTCAGCCAAACTTCTGGGTCCCACTGATACAGACAATATCTAGTTTTGCATAATAACGCTGTTGATACCATTTCTGGAGTTTGATCGCTGCAGGTGCACTGGCGGTCATCAGAGGGGGCGGGGTCTGTCGCGTCACATGGTACGTCATGGGACAGCTGGGCAGGATGAACGGGCTGCAACGGCGCCTTCTTCAGGAGGTGGTTCAGGCTGCCGTGAGTACCGTTATTGGGAGCCGGACGGATATCCAAGAGGTCTGCAGTCAAAGAGACATGGACAAGAAAAGTATGTATCTGTTGTGAGAACACTCAATTCCTTTCAATTCAATGCATTCTTGTATAGTCCTAAATCACTACAGTAGTCATCATCAGAGAGGATTTTACAAAGTTGTTGGTTCAACAGATCAGAAAATCAAACAGTTAAAACACAGAAAATGCAATAACAACAAAAAGATAAAAGCCTTTGGTCCATGGCCCAATTCAATCCAATCCACTACATTTTATAAAAAAAGTTTCCAAAGTTCTACACATTCAAATATACAGGTTTACCAGCTTTGTATATAAATGAAAACAATTTAATTTCATGGACATTGTTTATGGATATTCATGAACAATGTCCATAAATGTATGTAAATGTTCTACTGTCCTTAGACCCTGCATGGAACAACTTGAAAACCCAATTCACATAATACTTTTCAATTATACGATAGCATGTATGAAGCCACAAATGACCATTAACTATTTGTAACATTTGTTTGAACAATCAGTAGAGCCACTTTCAGACGGCATTCAATCACACCATTCATATTATAATATATTTATCAATTGCATTCATATGGGAAGAACTTGATGCTTACATGAGTTCTGAAAAAATGCGTTGTTGGCCATAAACAAATGCATGGACTTACCACACACGAGGTTGTAGACTTCAATGTTCTCAAAAGGAGGCACTTCAGTCTTGTGTTTGAATCCTGGACCATAACCAATGAAAATAGCCTAAAGAAACACACACATATTTGGATTATCACTCAATCTTCAAATGGTGCTAAATCATTGGTGCATTTGAATATAACATGGAAAACAAGTTGTGAAAGAGCAAGTTTAAAAGCAGGCTTCTTAAATAACATGAAATTGGCCTGTTGCACGTCAGCCCATAAAGCAACAATGTGGTTAGAGGAAGATCTGAGAGAGAGCGTCTGTAAACATCTTACATGATGCCCTGCACTGAGTTGAACCGGGGACATTCCTGAATATATGAATAATATAGGACTCTGGCAGTGATCACGCTGAGGTAAATCCAAGTTCAAGATGGTGCGAAAACGCAGAAAGCTTGTTAAAATGAGAACAAATGTGGGACCACAGGGAATGTGTAGGAGGAGAGCAGAAATATGAGCTAGAACCAGTGGGGGCGGGTCCCGGCTTAAAAGTGGCCAAAATAACGTGCGCTGAGATGCTTGCAATACCACCCCGGGCCGATAGCATCTCTAAAAAAAAAAGGCCTTTACAGGATGGTCCAAAAGTTGGCTCTTGGCCCAAAGCTCCGTTCCACATGTGTGTCAATGCTGAGGGGGGTGATTTTTTTTGGACTAAAGTTTACTTACTGTGAATTTTTGAAGTCACTTGTTTAAATGAATGGAGCTCATGTCGGCTGACTCATGCGCAGATGCATTTTTTCACATTTTCCAGCCCTCGCGGCCATTTTGAATCATTCCATGAGAGCCCAATTTTTTGGCCCATTAGTTAGAACGGCGGAGATAGGCGTGACTACGTCCGTTAATATATACAGTCTATGGTTAGAACCTAGAATGTAAAAAAAGAAAAGAAAAAATATACTGAACTAAATTTAATTCAGGTTAGTTGTTAGTATAAAATGACCTTGTTGTATAGTAATTATTATTCATATTTAATTAACAGAATTGTGCTCTATCATTACACTTTATTTCAAAAGTCACCGTCACTTTACCATTATCATTAAACGTACATAAAAAATAGACAATAATCATCACTAAACACGTAGCTACAGCCATGTTGCTGATGTTACAGGTGCTTTATTGATTGTTTGATTATACGATTATAATTATATTACAAAATGTTATTATTACTGACAATATTTTTGCTATATATTTTCACAGTAATTGATTTCTGTTATGGCTGTTTGAAAACAAAACAACATGAGACAACAGCTTAATATATAGAGTCTATGAGCTCAACTCTACCACAATTAAAAAACACATATTAGCCACATCGCCACATGGTTACATTTGTTTTAAAAAAAAAGTAGCGACTGATAGTTTGTAAATTAGGGTACTTTTTAGGCCATCCTTGTCAAGTTGGAGTCAGCTGTGCATATGTTCATAAAGACACTTCCTTTGTGCAGAGCATCTCACCTGCATGTTCCTGAAGAGGTTATCGGAGCCGTGGAAGCCCCCGCTGCAGTACTTCATTTCCTTCCTAGTCCTAAAAATACAGCACCATTAACAAGTCCGTCTGTTATGCAACTTAAAAAAAAAAAAAAAAAACATCACTCGTTCTTGTTTGATGTTTGTGTCTTGAGGTAATTTTCCCTGATTATATAATTGGTGTCATTTCACTGCACAGTTCTCCCAAACACACATGATAATCTTTGTAAACACTGAACAATTTAAGTTGGCAACAGCTTTACAAATATGTATGCAGTTAAGATTCATCTTTATTGACACAGAAAAAACCCTGATTGATGCTGTTTATAGATATGTTGATCAAATATACTTCTAACATTTAAATAAACATCAGGTTCTTCATGTTTCCAGTGTAATGTAGTTGCTATTACTACCTTAGCCATAGCACATAGCAAGGATAGCCCTTTACTAGCCTTGTTAAAAAATGATCATATTCCAGGTTTTCTTCCAATCTTAGATAACTCGACCGCTGTACTATATTGGGTATTTTTCCTGTCTGTCCCATTTGTGGAAGATAAGATGTACAACAATAATTATATGTTTTTTTATTAAGTTTATTTAAGAAATTATTATATGAAGTATTCCCTAATTCGCTGCATGCTCAATTTTATAATGCTTGGCGGACCTTTCATATAAGAGCCTAATAATAAGCTCTTTAATACATCTTGTTCAACAAAACCAAATCCTGAAAAGATCTGAATTGTATTTGTTGATTTATTACTCTTTCCCTCGCAACCCATGAAGATTTCATATGTCTTCAAACGGCCAGCAGATGGCGATGATTTCTATTGTATTAGTGCATCAAAAACAAGCACTGGGGGCATGATTTTGAGTGTTCCCGTGATTATTTAGATTCCAAATTGTAGGTTTAAATCTTCCTTCTGATCGGGACTCACACACTTTATGTATTTATTATTGATTATTATTTGAGCACAATGTTACAGGCAATACTAGATTTATTATTTATTTATTTATTCATTTATTTATTTGACCATCTGCTCAATTACAATGATTTCAAAAACTTGGTCAATTACAAAAATATATAAATAAATACAAATATTGACAAAGAGCACACATTGAACATGATGCTCAAAAGGAGTAGGAGGATGTTTAAAACTAAAGATTTGCAAAGGAAAAGCTCAAAAAAAAAAAATGCATCATGGCGAGTAGCTAATTGGTTTACTATGTCAGCTTTGAGCACAGTGTGTTCTCGCTCACTCACATGGCGGCCTGCCAGCCCTCCTTCATGTACAGATGCCCCCTCTCGATGCGCTGGTTTCGGGCGAAGTGCATGCGTTTCGGGAGGTTCTCTTTGAGGAAGGCTCTCATTGGCTGATCAGGAGTCCTGCACTTAATACCACAGCACAACAATCAACTACAGATATGACAATGTTTGACTCGGGCCCAGTCAAGCGGAAAATCTCTCATTCTTCTGCTCAGTGCAACAGGTTTGATGTTAGGAATAGCTGGCATGCCGAGAGAATATGGTTGACATAGGGATTAAGATAAGGCAAGAAAGAGGATAAGGAATTGTTTTATTGTGATTGAAAAAAAAGGGCTGAAACAGGACTTAAAGTAGCAATATGAAAGATTTTCATGTCAAGTCATTATTAAATGGCCCTAATATCTCAAAAGGCATTAATAAACCATGCTCTTTAAAAATACTTCAATACTTTCATCTGATAACAGTAGTTCAGCCGAGATATTGGGAGTTCAAAATTAGTTTACAGCCCCTAAATCTTGTTATTGTTTTCATTTTGATGGTACCAGAACTCACCGCGTTGAGGTAATCTCACTGGTAAAGAAACATGTGCCCGCAGAACTAAAAAAGGTCTTGTTATGATTCTCAAATAATTAATGACAGAAAAAAAATAGGATTTCAATCGGGGCCTTTGTGAAAAAAAGTGTTGGTTATAGATTTGTTGTTGACAAAACTTTTGCCTATTCAGATATTATGGTTCCAGCTGGATTTGTCTGCATATCTGGCAACCTGAGTCAGGGAGAGTGGGAGAGGTTGCAGCAGTACTTTTGGCCAGTACATTGCTTGAATAAGAGTTACAGTATATCACACCTTGGATTTTTTGTCATGGTGGGTTTGTGTTGTGTTTATCATGTGCTGAAATTAATTTAAATGCCACAAATAATAAAAATATCCACAAATAAAAAATTACTCATTGACTCACCGACAGACGCTCAATCAGTGCTTCATAGTCAACTGCAGAGAAAAAGAAGAACAAAAGAAAGTGTTACATTTAAGGTTAAACGTATTGCATTTTGATAAAGAATACCAATACCTTCACTGTTTCTATATTTTGCATTTATTTATTTAATTTCTTATTTATGTATGTATTTATCATTATTATTTCTGTGTGAATACATCTTGACTATGACCTTAGAATACTGTAAACTACCTTTCACAATAATAATAAAAAAGCCAAATACCAATACCACCTCTCCACTACAGGTTGGAATTAAAAGTCAATGTAGCAAATTATTTCAACTGGTCAACTTTCATCTTTCCACTGGTCTGACCTAAAATCTGCTTATGTCTTTGGGGATAAGTAGTTTGTTTAATGCCATGTTGTGTCCATTGAGAGTGCATAAAAGTTACATATAAAAGCCTGCATATTCTTTTTTTGCAAATATAATCATGACCATACAACAACCTGCAGCCCTGCGATCTCCTGAATATAATCTACTGTATTTCCATATTCGGGCAACACACTAGTGGAAAACTTGTCCACACGAGCTACAAACAATTTGACAATGAGTGATTTGGGGCCATTGGGAATAAACGCGCTTGTATCAACACGAACTTACACGATAGAAAGTCCTCAGGAAGATGCAGGGGCCGGATCCGTGCGGCCGGGCCCTGGATCACAGAGAAATCTTCGGTGTTGTTGACCAAAGACGACACAAACACGGCTTTATCACAGGACGCCTCCTCCATACCTGCAAATATGAAACAGAAAGAATGAATAATCCAAAGTAAATCATACAAACAGAAACCTATTAATGTTGTTGTCTATTATCTAAAAACTAGAGAAACATACTCTCCTTTGACCAGTGGTACCTGAATGAAAAACACTTGTAGAGCACAGACCTACTCCAAGAAGCACAGAGCGGCACAGTAAACCAATCCAGGCTCTGGGCGGTGATCTGAATCGATGTCAAATTCTAAGCTGTTACTGTACCAACATTTCCTGAAAACCCCCTTTCATAACTATCTGAGTTCAATCTTAGCACATATATATCCGGGCATATTGATGGCGCAGTGGTTAGGGCTTGTGCCTCACAGCAAGAAGGTCCTGGGTTCACCTCTGGGCCTTTCTGTGTGGAGTTGGCATGTTCTTCCTGTGTCTGCGTAAGGTTTCTCCGGGTGCTCAGGTTTCCCCCTGCCACTAAAAATACGTACAATAGGTCTTGCATGTGCAGTGGTTAACGCTTGTGCCTCACAGCAAGAAGGTCCTGAGTTCAATTCCACCTCTAAGCCTGTCTATTTGCAGTTTGCCTGTTCTCCCCGTGTCTGTGTAAGGTTCCTCCGGGTGCTCCAGTTTCCCCCTGCCACTGCAATAGGTCTTGCATGTGTCTCCTTTATGGCGACCCCACTCCCATCTCTGAGTGGAGTGAGCATCAATTGTAAAGCGCTTTGTGACTCTTAACAATGAAGATTACTTACTTACTATTTCATTCATAAATAGCTTTTTTTAAATTATATTGTTTGATTTATTGTTTTAATATTGTTCCCGGCATCTCTCTCTCTGGGGCCAGGACTCCGGTGAAAAGGAAAACAAATCTGCAATATTTCCTCAATCAAGGTCAATATGACATAAATAATAATAGATTTTTTCATACTCTTCCTGTCCAACCCTTTGGGGACTGTTTCTTGATGAAATGTGCTATATAAAAAAATGTAGTTGAACTTTTTCCGCTACAGACAGACGACACCCTGGTGAAAACCGTATCTCTGCCCCAGCGGAGGGAGTTAACAGAGATATTGAGATTCCAGACTTTCCCTATTTTTTTTTTTTCATGACCGTAGAAAGACAAGAATGCAGAATGTTCCGGCACCGCCACAGTTCTGTTTATTGTGATGTGATGGATATAGTTCGGCAGCTGTTTGCTAATGTGCATTTTGTAACTCCCCGAGGCCAGTTGGAATAGATTTGATGACATGACATGCATAGTTTCACACTAAAAACCAGTCCTCTAGAGAAACACTTTTCTATTTAACATACTGATATATATTCTAAGTCTAACCCATGATTGTATTATTTTTCCCACTGAAATTCCTGAGAGGTTTTCATGCAGAAGCAAGTCCACCGCAGCCCTTAGAATTATCTGCAGATCATGGGTGTGTTTTTAGATTATTTTTACATTTGCTGACATGACATCCCTTTTGGCCATTTTCTTTTGTCGTCATCAAATTATACTAAATCTGTTAGAATTGCAGAACTTTGGAAGAACCATCTGACAGAGAATTCAAACTCACTTTCTTATAACTGTTTTTAACATTATGGAGGTATTTTGACATTTTTTCTGAAAACAAAATGTATGTATTGTTTAGATTTAACCAAAACTGGGCCAAATATGAAGTTAAACATATTTTAGATTTAACTATGTAACTTCTAAGGATGTGTGGGTTAAAAAATAGATGTAAATGTCTTAGTAGCCCATAACCATCAAAGCTGCAAGTTATTAATAGTAGCTGAAAATCATTTTAGGTGCCTCTAAAAACTGTCTGACTAGGGCTCAATTATTTATAGCCCTAATCACATAAATATAAATCACACTTCCTCATTTGGGTCTCTGCTGTTCACATAAACACACCAGGAAGTAAGAAAGCGTGCTGCGTCATAAGCTCTTCAAATCAACAGCTGATAGAGCTCTAACAAAAGAAAAATACAAACAATGGTTGCTTGGCTACATAGAGACTGACTTCACAGACCTTGAAAAAAGCAGGGGTTTAGGGTCTCGCAAGTTCATGTGATTAGTTGCCAAATGGAGGGGACAGATATATTAGTGTGAGTTGTGTTGCCTGTTTTATGTACCTAATGATTCAAGAATTTGTTTGACATTTGCAGTAAAACCACATTGGAAAAACCGTGCAAGACTACCCCAGTGTGCACCAGACTCAAACCTCAAATGTCTTTTCTCACAATGGCCACTATAGTGTGAAGTAGATTCATGACATGTCGACTCGGCTTCTTAAGGCTTAGAAATGAGCTCATCATTTAGAAAGTTTATGTGTGAAGTAAGTTAGAAAGCTCAGGGCTGGTTCTGCTGCTCTGGGCTTGATTAGGACCACTAGACTCACATGATAAAAAGTTTAGACTATTCTATACCTGAAACTGAAAAACTTTTTTAATGTAGCCTCCGTTTTCCAACTCTTTATATTTGGATATTTTCAAACCCCTGAGCAGAGATTTTACTTACTTCCTACTGATACTCCTATGACAAAAACAGAATTCAAATAACCTTTTATCAGATCAAATTTTGAATCAAATAAGTAAAATATTGATTGTTAATTTGGGCCATTTTTTGACAGTTACAAAACTGATTGAAAGATGATAGATGTAGTAATTTTTTTCCGGTGCCATGCGATCTAATTAAATAAACACCTCTTGTCAATCTAAATAAAAAACTGTGTCATCGTTCCCCAAACAGACTCACCGTGGTCAGAAACAACGATCAGATTGACGCACTTGTGGAGGTTCCTCTCTTTGAGCCCGTCCATCAGCATCCCCATGATCCGGTCCACGCCCTCCAGAGCTTCGACCACCTGAAAACAAAGAAAAGATAGTGTGTTACTGAATTCTGACAGAACGTTTTTTTATTATTTTTACAGGTTTATAGCGTGATGTCGACCTGTTGGCTCCCTGGACCATAGCGATGTCCCGCTGAGTCCGGTTCATCCAGGTACAGCGTGAAGAAGTCTGGTCTGAATATAAAAAGAATGTTATTGTCTAGACATGCATTTATTTTCTTTCTGAGTCTCTACGGGTGTTTTTTATGTGTTTTATGACTTTTATATCATCAGTATGTACTTTATGCTCAACCAGGGACAGGACTGTGGCATGGTTTAGGTTAATTTCCTTTTTTGTTTGACTCTGGATATTTTTTTTTCATTTTTTTATTAAATTACTTCATTTAATTTGGACACGTGACAAGGAGTTGAGAAGTAGCATTTGCTGTGACGTGTCCGCGACAGTTGCAGTATTTTTTGTGTGTAAAAAATACTGCAACTGTAAGAATGCATTGTCCCTGTTAAATAATTGAATACACAAATAAATACACATACCTTTGTCCTTCAGGTAAACTGAACCATTCGAACATTGTTGTAACTCTCTGTTCAAACTGTATATTTCTGTGGACAAATCAGGTAGACAGTAGTTATACATTGAGCAAGAAAAACCACTTTGGCCTTTAAAAAGAATAAGATAAGATAACATACGAGGAAAATTGTACGGAGAAATGTAATGGAGAAATTGGCATGTGACATTTGGCATGGATAGAATCACTGGGGGTGGGGGCGACAGTAGCTCAGTTGGTAGAGCATTGGCCTTAAGCCCAGAAGGTCGTGGGTTCAATTCCCACCTCTGCACCTTCTCCACCGACTCCCACTGATGACTGCTGTCGTTGTGTCCTTGGGCAAGACACTTAACCCCACTTTGCCCAAATGCTCCCACTGAAAGATCAAGGCTATGCTCACAGTCAGAGAGCAGCCGTCCTCCTGTGGACTCACCACCTGCAGAGGGTCAGTGAGGGGCTGGTGCTATGAGACTTGGGTGGCATCTCTGATTGCCACCCCCCTGACCCAGAAATGGATTAAAAGGGTAGAAAATGGATGGATGGAGAATCACTGGGTTTGTGCAAAAGCCAGAAGTGTGCAAACATGTTAAGGTTAAAAAATACAGTTTTTGCAGGATATATAAATAAACTTGGAGAATAGAACTCCAAATGAACCTTGTTGGACTATGGGTGACTAAAATAATGAGAAAGATTAATACTATAATAATAATAATAATAATAATACATCTTTATACCAGACTCAAGGTCCATATAAACCTATAAATGTATAGGATTGATACGTGAAAGAGTGTATTTGATTCTAACACTGAACATTATTCATTTACTGTTGCTAATATTGGCATTATCACATCTTTGCTTAAAGCTGGGGTACCTAACTTTCAAACAGCGTTATGGACTATGTAATACAATCCATGTAACTAGTTCCTACAGCTCAAAAATCTGTTTGGTTCACTACAGGAATGCATTTTTGGCCTCTGTAACACCTTTGGATCAGCTTTTTTAGACAAAAAAGTGAATAAAGAGAGGACCACCCTCACTCAGCCAATCACCTCCAAGCCCAGGGAGTCAAAGTGTTACACACAAGGGCTCTTTCTTAAAATGTTTGAAAAACAAATGTTCTAACAAATATGATGTCTGATTTCTTCATAAGGACTCTTTATATTTGACCATAAACTACAGAGATTTATGATAAAAGAAAAGTTTGGTACCCAAGCTACAATGGAGCCATACAATGTTGTGTATATAGCCAAAATTTGCAGCACTACAAACAACAAAACACAAAGAAAATCATTTAATTTAAGAGGGATTTTGCAGCACCTACTTGTCATACGTGTGATAGAAAGTGGGGAACGTCCCTGTGATGTTCACGTCTGACCCAGGCCAAAAGAAAGTGGCTGTTTTTAAATTCTGACGCATTGCTGTCACCCAAACCTGAAAAAGAAAATGAGAAAAGCAGCTGATGTGAAGATTTGCTACTTAAGTGTAGAATATAATTGAATACATTTTATAGTGAAAAAAATCACAGTGCAGAGACCAGTCTGGGACAAATTTCACTTTTCGGACACTTTTATAGCCTTTTTACTTAGCATTTCTGTTTTGATGACTAAATTAATATCTAATACATTTCATTTGTATTTTTTTCCATATTTTTTTCATTATTTCCTCCACATTTCCTCTCTTCTGCTCCAGTTTACGCCTGGTTTCATGCCAGATGGACGATTTGGCACAGTCGCCCTAAAACCCAAACACATTTTTCCTGTTGGCTTTGTGGCGAGCAAGCTAAAATAATCAAAAGCAATGGAAGGATTTCTTTTGGAAATATTCATGTCTCCCTCCTGTTTAAAAATCCAAATATGTCCTGTTGAAAGAAAACTGTGAAATGACGGGGGCGTCCATTGTTATGAATCCTCCAGCAGAGATCGGATTGAATTCATCGAACATTCCAAAAACATACTTGAGAAATGTAATAAATTCTTACTTATTTATGTTTGCATGCATGTGAAAGGTTAAACTATACCCACAAAAATGTTTTTTTGAGAGACATATTTTTTGTTAATACATTTTTTATTTACCCTAAAAATGATTTAAAACATATATATAATAATAGTAACCTTGGTATTTCTCTACCCAAACAAAATCTTTCTTTGTTTTAAACTTCCACATGCACAAAATCCGCAATCTTGAAGTAAAATGGCTTTCTCTTTACCGATTTTAAGTCATTTTCTGCCTATGCAAATGTTCTTTTTTTATCAGTTTACCTTCAAATCAATATAATCATACTAATGCCCAGCACTTAAGAACTCGGAAGATGCTTTGTAACATATTAGACAAAGAAAATTCAAGAACATGGACCGTTTTACTGTTGTGAATATTCAATACAAATTGGCTCTGTGTTTTTTTCCCCCATAACTCGAAACAATACAATTTGAATAATGGAGTCATGGATGGGGGAAAATACATCTACTGTATATAACATGTCTTTTAAGAACAAGGACAAGAAAGGACAAAAGCACTTAAAGAAATAACTTAATTTGAAAAAGACTGGTTATAATAGAGCCATTCCTCACAGATCTGACAGTAAATCAATACAGACTTATCTATGGCTGGGATACATTAATATATTATTCATTCAGACTGTGTGCACTTGTTTTGAATCATTAGGGGGACATGCTGCAGACAAATCGTAGATCACTCCATCCCACTGGTTTGCTCTTAGAAGTCCCTCAGTTCTAGTGGAGTTGTCTGTCACTTAGAGCCATGAGATTTAAGGCGGAAAACCACTAACAACCTCCAGATCCCGAGCTGTCACACACGCTGCCAGAGACATGTAGAAGAAGTCTCATTTGAACAGACCGTTAGAGTGTTGTGAACAATACACACGATTTAAAGAGCTCATGACAGGTCTGATTGTTCAGAATCAGAATTATTTGTATTTCCATTGTGAGCAACAGAAGTCACAAACTAGGACATGGCTTTGGCTCTCGATGCAAACAAGTCTAAAAAGTAAAAATAGTATATGGCATAAAATAAAATCGACATAACAGACTATATACAAGTGCACACAAATATAAATTGACCAAATTAATCACTTTTGTTTAATAAATCTGTTTCAAAATGTTTTAGTTTTGGAAAAAAAAATTATACAACATTTTGGGGGAACAATTTATTATACAGGGAGCAAAAAGAGAAAAGAGTTAATTCTATAGTTTATAACACTGCAACAATAGACGATTGCATGACACTTAAAGCAGGAGTACCAAACTTATTTTTTGTTTCATAAATGCATTTGTTTGTCCCAACCAGAAATGTCTTTAAACAACATTTTGTGAAAAAAATCACTCATGCTGTTTCAATAGAAAATATGTTATATTTTACATACTGAGAGCTGATTGTTTGAGTGAGAGCTGGTACTCCATTATAGATGTGACTGAGGCCATGAATACATATGTCAAGACTATATATATCTGTTTTTAAATGACTAGAGTTATGTATATTGTTTTTATTATAAAGATATTTTTTGTAGTTTAAATGTTAGGTACCTAAGCTTTCTATTTATGTTGGTCTATGAGTTTTGGAGTTTATTAGCATGAACTGACGGATAATGCACCAAGCAGTAAAATAAAATATAGGAAAATAGCTGAAAATATTGAATATAATTTCATCATCTAGTGTTTTAGTAAAATCTCCTGTCCTATGGTCACTATGCACAAACACACAAACTGAAATGGTTAGATAGAAATCAATCAGTCTGAAACTAATTCTTCCTTTTCATTCTTTATGCAAGCTTTGGACTCAAAGGAAAGTTTCCAGCAAAAGAAGGGTTCAAGGACAAAAGCTTTGAGAGCGTGGACAATCAGATGATTAATCCAGCACTAAGCCAGGTATAAAGTCAACTTGAATTAGACTGTGACAAATCCAATTGAAAGAATGTATGAAGATAAATTAATCTATACTTTATCATACTTTAATGCCCATGTACGACTCTCAGGCCTCTGTCCGGAGCAGTGGTCTCCGTCGTACAGCCCCTGGGAACTAAGGGTGTGTATCGATTCGATTATCGATATGCATTTGCCAAGTATCGATATTGATTTAAAAAAAAATATATATATATATATATATATTTTTTTTTTACACATTTTTTTTTGGAATTGGTATCAATACTTAATATATGGCTACATTACGCATCTCCATTCCATTTATCATGAAACAAAGTGCATTTTTTCTTTTATTTATGCCATAAATTGGCATATTGTCTATTTCTGACCAATATATCAATAATCGTCATATCGTGATAAAATTGTTATCGTGATAATATCGTTATTGTGAGCTTTGTATCGTGTATCGTATCGTGTCGTGAGTTACCCTTACGTTCCCACCCCTACTGGGAACCCATCTCCAGATATTTAAATTTAGTGAGGAGTTTGGTCAGGAGTACCAGAACTAGAGGATTTAGCATCTATTGTACATATTTTTAGTAAGAGAAACCGGAGCACCCAGAGTAAACCTACGTAAACACAGAGAGAACACGCAAGTTTCATTCCGGGAGTGAACACAGAAGCTTCTTGCCGAGAACCCCTCAGCCACCGCACCTCGCAGATGAAAGCAAACGGCCTCTAATCCAGATTAAAAATGGCAATAATCCAGTCTCCAAACGGCGCCTGTGTTTTCAAATGAAGCTGTCCCTCAACAAGCGTTTAAGATTTAAGGCGGAAACCCAACCATCACGTTCCACTTGCTGTCATGTCACTCACTGCTCATTAAAACTGCAGGAGATTCTGGAGCAAGAAGCAATTGTCAGATAAGCTTGTGTCTCGTGCCACTCAGTAGAGTAAATTACAGCAAGGCCTCAGTGGGATTGCAGTTTAAGTGAGCAGGCTTCACGCATTCAACACATGGGAGACCACTAAATATGGGTTGGACATCATTCACAGGTTCTTTTCAGGAAAGTCTGGCACCAAGTCCAGAAGCGTGCTTGTGAATGAGGAAATGGGATGCTTTTAAATGAACAAACAGTGGAACCTGAGACTACAGTATATAATTATCTTAAAAGGACATTTTGAAACATTTCATAGGGATGTGTTTCAATTTAGGTGCAAAGACGGCTTACACTAAATGTTTAAGGTTATACGGACGGTGTATACAGCTGAAGAATATTGTTAAAGAGATTATTTAGTTCTGTAAAGATGTGAAAACGATATTACATGCAAAGTGACATACAGTATGCCAAGTCTTTGTTTGTTGATAATGAAATGACTAATTCAGAATTTGTCCTTTTTAATTACGGTCCATGTTCAATTTTAAAATTCTAATTATTTAAGATGTTTTATTTTGGGTCTTTACAAGCTATGAGCCGATTAGCAACAGTTGAATTAAAGAAGTAAATGGACTTTTGAACAATATTCTAATTTTACAATTTTCACATTCTTCTTCATTCGTCTTCATTCTTCTTCAGACATTGCTAGCCTATTGTATTTACATTTTGAGTAGAGAACTTTTGATAGCTTAAGTTTAAGAAAAAGTGCAGTTTCAAAAAAATGCCATGGTATTTCACTTTTAGCAATTCATATTTTTGTCATATTCTCATATTCAAAGCAGTCCCTCCCCTTTGGCATAACCACCACTGGTGAAATTTGGTGGAGGGGAATAGTCCAATCTAGAGGCTGTGGGGGCGGGACTTCCTCTCTCCTTCCATAATTCCCAATGAACAGCCTGTACTTACCGGTTCGCCTTGGTACCACTCGGCTTTGAACTTCTCGGCGGTTTTGAGGCTGAAGAAGGCGTTTCTCTTCACATCGTACATTTTGTTGTCCACGATACCATGGGACTCTGGATAAAGACCCTTCAACGAGAAATGATACAAATTTAAAAAAAGTATTTGAGGAACAGTAATGATGATCAGCCACTTCACAGAGATGTCATTGTTCATTTCTGTATCTTTACATAATTCCACGCTAGTAATTGACTGCTGCCTTCGTGACTCAACTATGGAAAAAGAGAGAAGAAAACGATGAATGGTGTCAGTGCATGTGGTGGACGTAGCCATCAGAAAGACAGACAACAGAAATAAGCAAAACAGTGTCTGAGAGCTGACTTTTCTGGACTTGAACTGACCAAGGCACAGGGCCGGGTTCTCCTGGCTGGACTGGCAGCTGCTAACCAGATAGCTGCTATTAACGTTTTCTACCTGGAACTACCTGGAACCACAGCGGGCTTTCACGGCACAACAGAAGATACTCTCAGATTATGGGGAGGAACAATGGTAGACTTTTGGTAAGTTTTACTGATTTTTAGTTTTGAGAAAATGTTCATGTATTTTTTTTTCTGCTAAATTGTAGTTCCTGCCCTGGTCCTGTGTGTGCGTGTGCAAATAATATCCATACTAAAAGAATATATCGTTATATTACTCGTATATATATATATATATATGAAGAAGATGACATAGTCTGGGATCGCGTCGTTAATTTAGACAGAAGACATGTTTTATTGTCAATGGTAGAGACAGCACAATCCACAGATACAACAGACTGCAAGTGTATTATACAGAGCGGAGGCATGGAGACCTCCAATCAGCAGCTGCCACGGTGTGCTTGTAGCTTGGCCTTCAGATAGACCAGTGTCTCCCAAAGTGGGGTCCGCGGCCCCCTGGTGGGCCGCGAGGGTACTGCAGGGGGGCCGCGGGAGGTCATAAAAAAAAAATATATATATATATAATTATTTAATGTTAAATTTATAATGTTTTGTTTGTGATATTAAAATATTTGTGTTCATTATTTGACTTGAATAATCCACTGTAATCATTTTTGTATTACAATGTTTGTAGCAGAGGCTATTTCCCCAAAATAAAATAACCAGAAGAGCCTATTCTTAATGTTGTCTTCTTGGTTATTATTTTGGGGGGCCACGCAGACCCGTCAGATTTTTAAGGGGGCCTCGGTGTTACTGAGTTTGGGAATGGCTGAGATAGACAAAACAAGGGAAAAGTACTGGCTTCTGCACATTGATAGATTGATGAGTTTAACTTTAACAAAAGTTGCTTAAAAGTGTTATGAAATCTCACATATATATATATATATATATACTATATGTCCATGTCTTCTCTATCTGTTCATCTTCACGTGCTGACCGTGTGACCTCAGTTTACTCTTGTGTATCTACTTCCATATCCGTATGCCAGTTTGGTATCACAAACTGATTTCAAGAATTTTGTTTAGTTTATGAAAATGTTTTATACTGTCACAGACGTTACACGGCGACCGGAAGTCATGACTTCTGGGACAAAATAAAAAGGCGGTGCGTGAAAAAAGCCATTGGGTGGTTCTCAAAAGAAGGAAGGGCAAAGAAAGTACTGTAATAAAAAAGGAAAAGTTTGACCTAGATACCAACATTTCTGTAAACCAACTATGTATCTTAGTTTATTTTATTTTATTTGTATTATTATTATTTATCTTTAAGAAAAAAGAAACATTATTATTCCGTCCTCAAGTGTGCCTTCCCCACTCATCCACAAAGGGCTAAATCTGGTTCCTCCAGATTCCCTCTGCTGCGGTGGACCCTCCCAGTAATCTGTCTTCTGTCTGCGCTGAATCGATCTAAGAAAAGCCTGAATCAAAGCAAAAGGAAGTGCGCTGAGGGAGAACTCACTGGGACAACGGCGCATTGTGGGAATAAAAAATCGTCCCACTCACCGTCACAATGCTGTAGTGGTTTGGAAACGTCTTGGTGGGGTAAACCGGCCGCATGTAAGGAGCTGTGGTGCCGTACTTCCCTGAAAAAGCAATTAATGACATGATTTTTAAGTCAGAATGTGCAATATGAAACCACATGTATCACCGTCACTTTACTTTACTCATTTGTGCAATAATAACATAATTTCATAACATATAAATAGTAAAATAATTCATTATATAACATGATTTTAAAGTCAGTATAGAACCACATGTGTCCACAGTCACTTTACTGAGTCACTTTGTCCCAGACCCTCATGCTGTTGTACTTTTACATGTACAGATGTAAAAGTACAACTATATATTTCTCGCGCCAGAATATGCAGTATTATATAGTTGCTTCTTTATTATGCCAAAGTCAGAGATTTTGTACTTAATTCTTGCTTCTTCGTTATGCTAAAGTTGGAGATTTTCGATTTGCTTCCTTATTATGCTAAGATTATATACTTGCCTCTTTTTAGGGCTAAAGTTTGTATCGAATTAGTGTTAATTTAACGCCTACTGTTCTGTAACCCATGATGCAACACTAACATTTCCCCACTGTGGGACGAATAATCATAATAATAATAATACATTTTATCTAAAAGCGCCTTACAAAACACCCAAGGACACTATTCAAACGTGGTTAAAAACAGGGCGTAATTTAAAAACATTAGCATTATTAAAAACAGAAAACAACAGAAGGTCAGTTTTGAGTCTGGATTTGCTGGATTTGAAGGGGAGGAGAGTCGGTGTTGCGTTAGTCAGGGGGGAGTGAGTGAATGACGACTCTTTGCATGTGTACAAGCATTCACACGGGCGTTTCAGCACGTGTATCTTGTTCATATATGGGGACAAACTGTTGTGAATGAAGATATTTTTAGTCCAGTATGCATTGTGAGAAAGAGCTTACTCAGAGCGTTGATGACAGGGATGTGGCTGCTGTGGTCCTTCAGATACTCAGCCCTGAATCCGTCCAGAGAAACCAGGATGAGCGGAGGTTTGGTGAACCTGGCAACCCAAAAAACAAGGCCGAACTTTGCGTCACTATCTATTACTATCTGTTGATCTATATGGAGTAAACCGCATACATGTTTGTAATGAAATATGTCTGGGTATTGCTGTTTTCCCACAATCCTCTTGCAGCAGCTGAATGTTAGCTAGTGCTGCTGAGTATAGTCAAAAATCTATGTATCTATAAATTATATGTTAGAAATATACTGTATGTTATATGTTATTAACACTAGGACCGCCGTGCTCTAAACATACCTTGCACCGCCCCCTGCGGTCAGTTGACCGCTATGTATTTTGCGCTGATACAGCCTTTTGCCAAATTGATTGTTCACTAAACCAGAACTTGTTGTTGCAAGGAAATCGTGATCATAATGAAACTGTGTAAATTATTTGTCTAAATATGCTAAGTAATTGTAATTCTAGCCGAAATAAAAAAAAAATTACGATGACTTTTCAGGCTAGATTTATTTTGTAACTTTGCAAACACCTAAAAGGTCGGTCACTATATGTTAAATTTGACTCAGTAACAATATGTAAATTCAAACAATATAAATGATAGTTTAGAAAAGCACGGGACCATAACGTCTTCGCGCTGCTATGCGTCTACTTCTTACGTGATCTCCAGACTGTTTTCTCTTTCCAGCCAAAATCACCGTGGGAAATATTATCTAGACAATAATAATAATATTCGTATTGACACGAGATCAGCAGCTAGGCTACAATCGTCAATGTAAAATCTTCAATTTTACACGGGACACGTTAGAAAGACAAATATATATATATATATATTTGTATTTATTTGAGACAAGCAGTGCTCTTTATGATCAGAACAAAATTATAATCATTGCCTTGCAGTGCGCACTGTGCAGAATAACACACAGTGTTATCTGAATGAAATAAGAATGATATCCTTATTGATATGAGGGCCGCTTCTGCCCCACAGTCGTTCTCCTCCTGCAGGTGTCCGCGGGTGACGAGAGGCCTCACAGCGCTCTATCTGCACTCTGCCTTGATAGTTCATCTAATTGTTCTATTTTATTGCGATATTGTATTCTGCTTTATTGCCTTCTTGTATGTATAAATATAAGAATGTAATTGATGATGAATGAAAAGGCAGAATGGAGCGACAGCACGCACACAGACACCTGCGTATGACATTATGTCATGCGCGTTATTGCTTCTGGACTTGTTCCAACACTGCTGTCCGTGCCGTGAATGCACTACGGGTTTACGTTCAGATTTATGATATTATAGGTGTTCTCCCCGCTGTGACATCTCACCTCCGTCAGACTGTTCTCATTCAATGTCTTGAAGCACTGTCAGGGCTTCATATCGTGTACTTGCAGCTCTCATATTTTGTACTCCTCTCAATTCAAAACTCTTTCTCTCTCCCAAATAATAAAAAAAAACCTCAAGTCCCTGTAGAGTCTAATGACAACATATTGATACATTTGTATAAGGCGCGAAAAACCCCGGGAAAGGTTACTATGACAACAGTCGCCCTTGCGCCATGTATCCCTATGGGGCAGCAGAAAGGGCTGTGGTTTAGAAAAGTTAAAATGCGTGTAAATCTTGTTTTCTTTACTTTTTCCAAAAACAAAACACACCAAAATATAAACAACAAGTACCCAGTAAAAGTCATAAAATTTCAACTTCTGGCGTTTTGTTTTGAATACACTAATTAGCATATTAAAGTGAGTGACGGTCAGTTGACCGCTAGGGGCGCTCCTAGTGTTAACAGTAAACAATAACATTAGAATCTCTCTTTTTAGTTTTTTTGAGTCTGTTCTCAAAAAAAAATACAAACAACAAGGAGTGACTTCATATTTCCATTGCTCTAAAATATTCATTATAACAAGAAAAAGTTCTTCAAATACTTTTTCAGGCTTTTGCGAGATAACTCTTACCCAACCATCACTTTTGTCTCGACGATACAAATGTGATATCCAATGTAAAAATATACATTTTAAGCTAATAAATGGCCACCAAGAGGAAATCCTTCTCGTTCTTTGTTTCCAGGACTCTGATCCCGAGTTTACAACGTAGGCTAAAATAGTTGCGGTCGCCAATAATTACCCAGAACTTGGATTTCTTACAATTCATTAAGAAGCGGTCGTAACTTTGGCTCATCCATGAATATGTCTGTTATGTTTGTCCTCGATAAACAGGAATCTTGATTATGGTGGTTACAGATACATAAATCTGCAGTTTATTTTTAGGCACAGCTGTAAATAATGTATTTTCTTTTTTTCTCACAATGGTGATGTAACTAGGAAAGCAACATTTCAGAAAAGTCTTTTTGCAGCAAACATAATGACATAATAACAATACTCTGACTCCTACTACTACTACTACTAATACTACTACTACTACTACTACTACTATTACTAATACTACTACTAATAATAATACAAATTAATATGCCATTATAGTATCAATTTATAGAAGTTCTGGGACATCTTTTGCCCTACGCCATGAATGCACCCTGTTTCTGAGTTTTTCTATAATTTTCCATAAAGACCTCGCTGCCACAGAACATTCGCATGAATAACCATTAGCCTAGTTTCCACAAGTTTCCACGTCTGAAGCCATGATTCATTCAATCTCAAATGTAGACTAGACAGATCCTCCTGTTTTTTTTTTTCTTTTTCCAGAGCAGCCGCCCACATCCCAAAAGTGGAACATTAGAGAGAGACAAAGACATCTCACCCAGGAGGACACTGAGGCTGCTGCAGGTCGTCAAACGTGCCCTGGAGCCAAGGCTTTCCTGCAAACACACATTACAAATGATATATGATTGTTGTCTTGCTTATAGATTATAAAAATTCCATCAATGAAGGAATGAAAGTGATGCACATATTTTTCATTTAGCCACATTTTATACCCTGCCAAAGAGAAACGGGCAGATGTGATATAATAAAGTAATATATGTGTGTTAGCCCTGCCTTTACTGTATATTTATTGCATTTCATCTCAGTACATGAACTGTGCTATACAGATAAACTTGCCTTGTCTTGCCATATTTCCTTGAAGCTGGAGTAAGTTTGTTTTTTTTTTACTTATTTTTGCAGTCTTGCGTTTTGAGTTCCTTTTCATTTTGCCACCACATGTTTTTATTTATTCAGCCACAACCGCCTAACAAAGCTCTGATCCACTGAACGGTCAGTTTTGAAACTTTTGGATGTTGGTGAGACATTCAGTCACTATGACAACCGTGCAAAAGTAAAACTGCTCGCTTATTGGCAAGTGCAATCAGGAGAGGAAAGGGAGTTTCCGGCTGCATTTGATGCCTGGGATCAAGGGCAATCGAGAACACATGCAGCATTCAAACTATGAGACAACATTAGACACTAATAGATAGATTTTATTTTTATTATTGTTTGTTACACACAATTAAATGGAGTTAGTGACAGTTATTGACAACAAGTACAATATGTGTGTGTGTGTGTGTTTTTTTGGGGGTTTTTTCACCACCCCCCATCCCTATACCATCCCCCTCCCCCTACCACCCACCCAGGTTGACAGAGTGTATTTCAAGACACAAATAGATATAATAAATTTATGAATCGCGTTATCTAGTGATATTCATAAGATTATAAGATCCTTTATGCGTCCCTCAGTGGAAAAAAATTAGTATTGCATCACCAGCACACAACACAAGATAAATGAACAATAAAAACTCTAACTTTAGCGCAATAAAGAAGCAAGTATATAACCTCTCGCTTTAGCATAATGAAGGAGTGAGATTCAAGTATTCAATCTCTGACTTTAGCATCATGAGAAGTAAGTATAAAGTCTCTAAACATATCACATGTCTTACTCTGTTAGTCATAAAACAATTATTTTGCTTTGAATTGCAACATGCTGCCCATAAAACAGGAACTGAAACACATGGATCGCACACACACATACAGTGGTTATTTTACTCATGCTTAAAATTAACTTAAATTCCGATTTACCCAAACTTTGATGCTACAGTACCATTTCCATAACTTTCCTGAAAGCAGCAAATTTATGTCCTGGGTGACTTTTCATTTATAGTTGAGTTTGAGAAGATCCCTGGAGTTTGGGGAGCATTTGGCCTCATTGGGTTCATGAACTGTTATTATTTCTGAGTGGTATCATTTGGAGCAGGGCGAGTTGTGTGCTGTGGTTTGCTAAAAAGCTTTTCATGTGACGGCAGCTGGCAACATCTGGAAATATTAGACCCAAAAGGAGGGCTTTAAGAACACACAGAAGCAAGCATGACATAAAAAGGACTGAAAGGGAATGAACTGATGCTCTTCTTCCACCTATTAAAGCAATTCAGCTATTTTAAGTCATTACGTGCTACATCATTCTCGAAATAAAGTGTGTTGATCTGCCGATATTTTGTTTCATACAAATTCAGTACATTGTGTTTGTCTGCCTTCCATCCATCCATCCATCTTCTTCCTTGCTTAAGTAACATGTTGGGAACAAATCAAGCTATCCTCATCTTGAATTAGAAAACATTGTATACTATTAATTCACTCCATACATGATTAGCTACTACTGTAGGCACAGCTGACCTGGGGCACACTGACAGAACCGAGACAACAAGTAAGTGCCATTGACCCCTCCGATCACCATCAACCATTCACACACACACCAGACTCATTCTAGGCAATGTGGGTGAAGTGTCTTGCCTAAGGACACAGCAACAGTTTGGCATAAACAGCCGCAGCCGCCCCACTGTGGCACCTGGTGTTCCCAGAGGTCTCCCATCACTGTATCAACCAGGCCCTGCCCTGCTTAGCTTCAGACGTCTTAGGGGATCTGAGAGCTGGTTACATGTTTTTTTTTTAACATAGTGGATTTTGAGTGGTTACAAAGCTAGGGGCTCCAGCTTAAAAGTAGCACAACAACAATGATATAACGTCATGATGAATTGCTTTGTATGTTGAATGTGTCGGTTTCACATAGTCTCACACAGATAGCAGTGCAACAGGGAAATAACAACATGTCACAAAGAGCCCATTGTGGAACCGGTCTAATCTAAAGCCTTGATGCTGAACAATCACACGTAGTATCTATCCATGTCTTTGAATGGCTTTTTGTGACAAATGCTTCACTCAGCAATTACAGCACTGGCCTTGTTCAGTCCTGCTGCTGACTGGATAGCAGACAGATGGATTCTTAGCACGATGGAGAGAAAACCCCTCCTAACGTGAGCTCTGAGCCAAGTGCATGTGGTCTGGACTGGACCAGGGATGAACTGCTCTACAGGGACCAGCTGCAACAGTCTCCAATCCCAGGGAAAGCCCACATTACACAGGCAGTCGACGGAGCTATTTCTATCCGATTCATCTGAGGCCAAGAAAACTCACCCCCAAACGGTATCAAAAACTGTCAGTGTGGAAGTGAACAATAGCTCGCTTCACAGCATGTAGGGGACATGTGAAAAAAAAGTCCAAAAACGACCTAAGTATAGCTTACACTTTTAGGCCCCTCAACTGCCCCGTGGATAAAAATCTTTTCCTTTATCCTTTCACTGGGAGTATGGATATAGGTGTAGTGAGAATGTTGGCCTCTCATCCGTCCAGGCCACTGCTTATAGCTTTGCATGGATCTAATAGTATGGCAAATATTTTTCGCCGTCCGCCCTTTGATAGTTGCCTTGGACATGTTGAATATGAACTACACAGCTCTAAATAGTAGGGCCCATTTCCAGTGCGTGTGAGCATGATGTGAACGTCATTCAAAGAACACAAGCGCTCATTCTTCTGTGTTATGCTAATATCCTTGTGTCTGGAGTGACATCAGTGACATCAGTGAGTTGGATGAAAACAACTTTCTCCGGATACACTCAAGACACAACTGAAAGCATTGCCTTCGTCCACAGAATAAAAAGAGATCAGGTTGGAAATCTATGGGGCATGGACTCAGCCACCGCAAATAATGGAAGTAACAGCGTTTTACTTCATCCAAAAGGAGATTCTTATCCATGCATTTGTCTTCAGTAGGTTAGACTACTGTAAACTTGAGTCCTGGCTATAACCAGGAAGTACAATCACATTTGTCAAGTTCTCATGTCTTTGCACTGGCTTTCTGTGGGTCCAAGAATTGACTTTGAAGGAGCTCAATGAATCCCAAAAGTAGTTTTGAAATTTACGTTTAAGAACATTGATAAATACATTTAAGAATATCCACATTTGGGATGACATTTGCAAGAATCCATGTTTTTTTTGGATCAAATCCAAATATTATTATTATTCCAAATAATGATTTGCTTGGAGAGAAAACTTCAGCATACAATTACGAAAACAGGTTAAATGAAATGAGTTCATACACATGCCCAATGAAAGGATGCTTTTTGCAGTTGGCTACCGCAGCTGTAAGTACTTCTACTGAGACACTAGTAGAAAACTAGTGTCACAACAGTTCTTGAAAGAAAACTAAAAGGCTTGTCCCATTGGTGAATCTTGTTTTAAGAATCTAGTTTACTAGTGTCTCCAACAACAGAGGAGACGCTAGCAGAAAACGAGTGTCTCAGTATACATTTTCATGAGTCCTTTTATATATTCAAATAACTCGTAAAGTGCAAATAAATATGGATGATTGCAAACACAGACTATTACAGACTCAATATATAATGACTTTGATGACTGTGAAGTTACTATCAACTTAGCTGCATCTTGATATTTGATATTTTACAATCATGAGGAGAAAAAGCTCATGTGAAAATAAACAATTACATTAAAAAAAGTCCTCTGCTTTTCCATCCATCAGAGCCCTTTCACTGTGGACAGTTTCTATATTAAGACAGTGAGCTAAACTGAGCCAGATTCATATGTTTTTCATCCTCCGAGGGTGTGAATGCCACAGCAGAGCTCCACCCTCTGACGGACTCCTACCACACTCACCAGGATGTTTTTGCCCTGCGGTTTAACACAAAGCACATTCAGAGTTTTCTGCCCACGTCCGACCCAAGACACACATAAAAAACATTCCTGTCAGAGTTTAAATCTGTTTACAGCATGTTTAAGAAGACTAGAGGAGACATCGCAGACACCCTTCACACCACGCTTTCCTGTCCCACGTCAGACACCATCAAACAACAACAACAGAGGTTTGTCCGTAGCCCTTACGCTGCCATCAGAGAAAACTGAAAATCATTATGAGATAGCACTAAAACATGCATCGGTCATATGTGTTTGGAGTTTAAGCCCGGGTTGAAACGGTTCACGAGCTAGAGGAGTTTAACTAGTAATGTATATCACTGCAAAAAGTGAAGAAAAATATGTAAAAATGTTCTGAAATTTTGCAAAAAGTATCTTGAATGGGACAAGCAAAACTATCTAGCTTTAAAAATATACAAGAAATGTCTCCCTTGGAATGAGAAAGTAATGCAAAAGTGCTTGAAAGAAGACTAAAAGGCTTGTCCCATTGGCCAATCTTGTCTTAAGACAGTCAGAATGCTCTCAAATTAAGATATAAAAAAAAACATTTGATTCAAACATCAATTACCTCATATGGTATCCTTTTTTGCAGTGTAAATCAAAAGGAGAAAACTGTAAGTCAGTTGGAGCTAAACTTCATCCATGAGCATTTCCCTATCTGGCTTCGTTGAGCTAGCAGGTAAATGGTAGCTAAATGAATGAGCATGGGTCTTTCACACAGTATGTCATCATCTGTCTGTCTGAGGAACTAGTTAAGATTATTATTATTCTACTTTTTCTCCAGCTTTTAGGTTTCTCCTCACAAATTCTATGACAATGATTGATTTACTGCAGCTGCCTTTGCATATTTGTTAGCTAAATATTTGGAAATAACCTTGGAGATTTAACTTGGAATAGTTTTCATTGTCAAGTGGATTTCCTGATGTGAATTATCTTTGTAGCTGCCGTGGGTACACTCAAGGGAACCACAAACAATACACTACGAGACTGGTTTTCTGTCTGTTGCAAGTGTTAATTTAGCCTTTTTCGTTTAGTTTTATTTAGTCTACATCCCTACGCTGCCATCTGCTCAGAATACAGACCCTTAGTACTGTATTTATACTGTACCTTTGGATCACACACAGGTCAAACAGGATTTGATTTAAGCAATTTTTATACTTAAGCTGGAGTACCTAACTTTTTTTATTTGATGCTTTGAACTGAGAGCCGATTGGTTGAAAAGTCACCCTCTCTTTTTAAATTTTCTGATCTAGAGATAAGACTGAAGCCATAATTCATGCATGTGAAAACTAATGGAAAAAGCAAACTGTTTTGAGATCAAGGAACTATTATGGATTATTTTAAAGCTCAATTGTTATGGCTAGCCTAAAATGCATCACACCCATATAAATACTTGTAACAGTCTGTATAATGCTAAACTATGATAAAATACATCTGCTGCTTCTGTATTGGTCCAGTTTGAGAACCACGACCTTAGAAGTGTGTGTTTATCCTTTGTTGTACCATAAAATGCATGCATCCTTCTAATCAGCACACAATAACCGTTCTGGCACCGGCAGACATTGGTTTTCCGCAGTCTGTGCTCAAAGTCATGTCTGCCTCAGAGAGATATAGGCAAAACTGTTGACAATTATGAATGTATGATCCACCAGCAGTTCTGCCAGAACTCCTTAAGCCAGGCCCATCTGCACGGCCTCAACAGCTGCAGGGAGATTAGCTCTGAAGGCTTGCCAACAAAGTTTTCTGTTTAGAGATGTAACAATTGTGCTAATTAGAATTCAGCGCTACTGTAAAATACTTTTAAAACTTAGAGAAGTGAAAAGTGAATATAAAACACCTGTCTTTTGGAGATGTAATTGGATAAACCCCTATTTTTGTATGCATGGTCACTTATTTTCATGGCATTGTTTGTTGCTGTACTTATTTACTGTGACAGCAGACGTATAGCTTGACTGGTGACTAACGTGGAAGAACCAATGTATGTGGACTGCCTGATAAGTAAGTAAGTAATCTTTATTTATATAGCGCCTGTCACAGAGCAGAGTCACAAAGCGCTTTACAATTGAAGGCATTTGTCTCTGTGGTAGGGGAAACCGGAGCACCTGAAGAAAACCAACGCAAGCACGGGGAGAACATGAAACTCCACTCAGAAAGGCCCTCTTCCGACCGGGATTCAAACCGAGGACCTTCTTGCTGAGAAGTAGGGCTGGGCGATAAAACGATAACGATATATATTGCAATAGACACGTGTTCGATATCAATAGAAAACGGAGTCGATAGAATTTCGAAACAGGAACAAAACACAGGAAGTAAAGCCGAGTCAGAAGCGCACGGCATTCTGGGGGATGTAGGCAAAGGCTTCTCGACCTATCACAGCCGACTACAAACTGCAAAACTTTCTGGGAAAAGCATAAAAACAACCGCACCATGTGTAGCGTCCGTGGATCATGGATCTATTATAATAGCCATGGATCTAAAGATCGTGTCTCAGTGCCGTGTCAATGGTTAAACACGTCCGTGCGAGGAACACCATGTGCGGCGGGAGAGGCAGTGGGTACAGAGACTCCATGCATTCGGCAAAAGCAAGAGATTAACTTTTTCCGGAGCCGCCACGGGGACACAAGACACTCGAAAACAGCCAAAACAGGAGCTAAACCAGGATTAAACCAGGACTAAAGTGGGGGAGACTGCTTGTGAACCTTTGGCTTCAGCCTCATTCCCCCGTGACTGTAAACAAGGCTGCTAACATGTGTTAGCCGACACGACAAATGTATTTATTTACGTTTTAGAAAATAAATAAAAAACAATCAATATATATCGTTATCGACCTATATGAATTACTTATAATGTGATATAGTTTTCAGCCATATCGCCCAGCCCTACTGAGAAGCATAGAGAGAAAGTGTGGGATTTAATATGCTGATGATACCACCATCATTGGTCTCATCAGTAATAACGATGAATCCTCTTATAGAGCAGAGATACAAAATGTGGTTCAGTGGAGTAAAGCTAACAACCTCCAGTTGAACGCATCAAAAACATGTGAACTGGTCTTTGATTTCAGTCGCAATAGTTCTCACACTCCTGTTGCTATCGACAACTCCCAACTCCCAGGTGCAGATCGTAGAGGAGTGCAAGTTTCTGGGTTTAACTCTGTCTAATGACCTGAAATGGGTTAAAAACACTGACCGAGTCATTAAGAAAGCTCGTCAGCGTCTCTAATTCCTGCGTAAACTTAGAGAATTTCCCACTAACTCTAAGATTCTGCTTAACTTTTATCGCTGCACCATTGAGAGTTTACTTGTTGGTTCTGTGTCTGTGTGGTTTGGAAACATCACAGATAAAGAAAAGAGAGCTTTAAACAAGGTGCTCCGCTCTGCAAAGAGGACCGTGGGCTGTGAGCTTCCTGTTCTGGAGGTTCTTTATAAATCCAGACTTTTAAACAAAGCTCTTAGGATTGTCAATGACTCTTCTGGCCACCCTGGGAAAGCCATGTTCCAGCTTCTTCCCTCTGGCAGAAGATATCGCTCTCTGAGATGCAGGACATCTCGTTACGCTAACAGTTTTTATCCACAAGCTGTTATCAGTGTGAACAGAGCACTTTAATGATTTGCACTTGTTTTGGAACTGTTTTAGTCGATCGATTTCACAGTGACATTTGTTTACTGTTTTATTTGTTTCATTTCTGTACTTTTAATGTTGTGTCATGTCTGTATTTGTCTATGCACCCTGGTGACTTTTTGCTAATGTATTCCAATGTGTTTTTTACTGCAAATGGCAAATAAACTTAATCTGAATCTGAATCTGGTATTTTAATCTACTTCTTTTAAACATTAATAAGTTTTAAGTCTTGTTGTTGAATTTTTTTTTCTTTGTTGTTGTCTTATATTTCTTCCAAGTTCTAATAAACTTTCATTCATTCATCAGACTAATACCCATTTTGACTTATAAAAACTAAGGCAATGTACCTCACAATCATATCATCAAACCATGTTTCTTGCACATGTAAACATATTAAAGTTTATTCCTAATGCAGACTATTCATTTGTGAATCGTTGAATTGTCTTGAATATAGTTAAGATCAATCCTTTGCTTTTAGCCCTCGATCATTTATGTTGTATGCATGAATCTGACTCACCCTTGTCTTTGCTTCCCTTCCTCAGAGAGAACGCCACAGCCAACACCACCACTAGAAAGCAGAGCAGCAGGACCTGTAGGTGCAAGCACAAAACAACAAGAGATTTTAAGGCTATTTTCCCAACAGCTGAGCACAGAAGACTGTTTGGAGATATCAGGTAGCACATGTTTAGACAAAGAAGATAGTAACAGAAGGCCTCAAGAGAAATGATCTCAGCCTCACTATTGTTATTCATTCACCTCATGAGTGACCCACTTAGTTTGGTTACAGCAATGCAAAAGGCTTTCACTGAGAATTAACATGTATGGGGGTAAGCAATGGAGAAATATATAAAAGGCTTTACCTTTACTCTTTGCCAAATAGTATCTTGAAAAGCCTATTTTAGTGCCATGCAAAAAAGTTCGACCCCATATTGAGGAAATGATTTGAAATTTACAGCCAATAAAAAGCATGTTGAAGAATGTAGCCAGAGGAATACAACTTTTTGAAACATTTTCAAAACAAAGTTATCTGTTTTTTAAATGAACTCCCACTACACACTGTACAAACTCTACTCACAAAGATACCGTTTCACCCGTGATTCAAATACAGTACCTTCTTTCTGAGAAGCGAGAGTGCTGTCCACTCAGCCACAGTACCACACTCATTTACTCTTAAGCGTTATCTTATCAATGTGTTCTAGGCATGTATTATCTTTGTATGCCACAATGGAGATAGTAATGGAAACTATATCAATCAGTCAACAACAAGACAATTATCAGGAACAACTTGTGCTATACTTTCTTCTACTGTATACTTTCTTACAATACTAATTTTCTCCACATATTCAACCATATTTGAAAATAAATAATTCAGTTCCAGACAATACATTGATGAAAGGGGAATTCCTGTCCCTGCTTCCTGTCCCTGATGCTAGAACAGAGAGGCAGGTGTATGTGTTGCTGCAGAAACATCAGCACACACATGGCTTTCCTGATGATGAGAAGCATGTCAAATCCAAGCACCGAACCTTGGGGGACCGAGCTTTCGCCATCTCTGCTCCCACTCTCTGGAACTCTCTCCCTCCTCATCTCAGAAACTCGGACTCACTAAACTCCTTCAAAAAACAGTTAAAAACTCACTTCTTCCTCCAAGCATATGACAGCTTTGTACACTTCTTTCCTGCTTTTAGTCTTTTAGTTTTGTGTGTCTGTCTGAATGAGTATGTGTGTGTGTCCTGAATTGTGAAGCATCTTTGAGCTATATAAAACCGATGTATTATTATTATTACTATTATTATTATTATTATCATTAAAGAAGGACCAACTATGCCAACTGTACACCACTGATATCTCACATTCTCGAGCGCTTGTGATTCCATCCGCTGTAGCTGCTGTGTGGCCTCTTCTCCATGTGGGTGGGTTTCCTCCACTTTCCCTCGTCACCACAGGGATTTCCAGCTGCACTTCAGCGATCATACACTTTGACAGGTTTCCCCAGAAGTATTGAACACATGTGTCAAATCCAATGAAGACAAATATTCCTCATGGGTTCCATAAAGTATCATGTTGTGAGTTGGGGAAAAAGGTTGTCAAAAAGTTGAGAAACATTTTCCTGTTGGTGCCCGGAGTCAGAACTAAACATGGGGAGTCAGCATTTCAGATTAATCCATCTTAAATATTAACAGTGTCTCAGTTGGTAGAGCGCTGGCCTTTGAGCCTGAAAGTTGTGGGTTCGAGCCTACCACAAGACTTTCTCCACCGACTCCCACTGAAGTCTGCTGTCGTTGTGTCCTTGGCAAGACACTTAACCTCTGGGAACACCTGATGCCACAGTGGGGCGGCTGCGGCTGTGTCCTTAGGCAAGACACTTCACCCCCATTGCCTAGAATGAGTCTGGTGTGTGTGTATGAATGGTTGGTGGTGGTCGGAGGGGCCGATGGCACAGACTGGTTGCCGCGTTTCTGTCAGTGTGCCCTGGGGCAGCTCTGGCTACAGTAGTAGTTTACCACCACTGTGTATGGAGTGAATGAATGGAGTGACATGAAAAGCGTCTTTGAGTGTCCAAAAAAGCTCTATATAAAACCAATGCATAAACAGTCTTCAGGAGACTACTCTGACCATGTTCAAAACTGTTAAACTGATTCCATTTTGAAATATTTTTCTGTTTAAATAACCATTTTAATAGTAGTTTTAGGGTCAATACTTTTCTCTTGCCATGTTTTAATACAAGTGTGTTGTCTATTGATGTATTTGTATTATCTTTTTGATATGTTTTGTTTTGGTAAAGGTGCACTTCATTAATCCCCGTAGGGAAATACACCCTCTGCATTGAACCCATCCTAACGTCACTAGGCCGTCTATCACTGATCGCCGTAGTACAGCGCCTGGGGACCCATCTCCAGATGTTGATGCTCGGATTGGTCAGGACTATCAGAGCTCGAGGATTTTTACCTATTGCACGTGTTTTTAGAGGTAGAGGAAACACAGTCACAGGGAGAACATGCAAACTCCACCCAAAACTGCTATCTCCTCAGCCACCGTGCTGTTTGGCATGTTAACCTGTGTTTTCAATTGCTCCTGTGAAACATTTTTAATTCCTTTACACAAATCGGGCCACACAATTAAATGATTAAAATTGATTCATTCTACTGCATTTACCTCCTAAGCTATAAAAAATGTTGAATGTCCTATATCTGCCTCTGTAGATTTCTATCACATATCCACGCTACACTACATAATCTTAACTCTTCAACACTTTTCATTCGTGCTTGTGTATCTGTTAGCTTGATTTAGTTGCCTAAACTTTGCCAAACATGTACTGCTAATTATTTCCTGCTGTTTTCTTTCCCCACATGTTCTCTGTAGTGGATCCAGCACATGGTCCACATCTGGGGACTGTGTAATTAAAGGGACATTTGAGTTGGGATCCACACAGCCCCAGTGCCCACGGCACAGACCCGGCTCGGCGTCCAGCCAAACTCCTGGGTATATAATTAGTCCTTGAGTTGAACCGTTGTTTGCAGCCAGATGTTGAGGATCATGTATGAAGTTGTCATGAGCAAAGCCAAGAGTGAAGTGCTTTTTCCACACAGCGATCAGGATGCAAGTATGTTTCAGAGCTCTGTAGTCAATGCAGAAAATGTCATGTTTTCACCGAGCCCTGGTCTGATGCAACCAAAAGAAAAAAGACAACAAACTCATGCAATGTCATTCAAAATAATGTTGGTTAGTGAGTATATTCTTATGGCGCTTTATCAGATTCAGGTTCATTTTATTTGCCATTTGCAGCAAAACCAAATGTGCAAAAGTCCCCGGTGTGCACCAGACAAATATTATAATAATAATGCATCAATTTTATGTAGCACTTTTCAAGGCATTCGAAGATGTAATTATTCAGTCACTCCATACACAGTGGTGATAAACGATGACTGTAGCCACAGCTGCCCTGGGGCACACTGACAGAAGCGAGGCCACCAGTATATGCCATCGGCCCCTCCGACCACCATCCATTCACACACACCAGACTCATTCTAGGCAATGTTTGTTTGGTAGTTTACAGACGCAGCTTCTCTGATCTGTGATGGAGAATGGACTACTTTGTAAAGTCCTCCGAGATAACAGCTGTTGTGATTCATATCAATACAAAAAATAAATGGTATCGATATTGGAAATTCCATTGGATATCAGCTTCATGATATCAGTGATATCCTGATTGGTTGATGTATTGAGACTATTACCTGGTTTCTATTTAGCCAGAAGGTCAGAGTTGCAACTTTTACTCTTACTCAAAGTAGTTACTGTATGTTGATACTTACTCAAGAATACAATTGTAACTGTTTTGTTACAAGCTTTCTGTGATTTGTGATCCTAATTCTCTTTACTAGCATCGGTTTATTCAGGTATCAGCACGTATTGCAATTAAGTATCGGAATCGGACAGAGAAAAGCTGTAGACCCAAAGAGGAAAATGGGAAATGTAGTTTTGTAGAAGCAATTTGTTCACAGACCAACTACAATAGCTGATTCTTTAATATATAAAGGGTTAATATAGAAGTGCATCTAAAACAGAGGTCTACAACCTTTTTCAATCGGAGAGCTACTTGTATGCAACAAAAGAGGCAGAGAGCTACTAACTTATATGCAATAATTACGACAAAACATAGAGAACACATAACTATATAATAAATGACTCAAAATGTATTCATTCCAGATCATTTGTTAAAATTTCAATCCTTTGGGAAGCTTCCTGAAAGGGGCTGGCGAGCTACTGGCAGCTCCCGATCAACAGGTAGGAGATTCCTGATCTAAAATATATCATTGGAAAAAAATAGAGAGTTCTGAGTGATTTGTTAGAAAGGACCAGGATGTTGACCAAACTGGTAAGAACTGGTAAAACAAGCTTAAGCAGAGCTGAGACAGAAAGGCCAAGGTTTACATCACTAGGCAAGGCAAGTTTATTTGTATAGAACAGTTCATACACAAGGCAACTCAAAGTGCTGAACAAAAGAAGACAGACACAAGATAAAATCGAAACAGAAATGTTTTTAACCTGGATTTGAACATTGTGAGAGAAGAAGACCGTCTCACATTTTCGGGATGACTGTTCCAGATTTTAGCTGCAGATTTCACAACAGTCTCCATCTGGCCTGAAATGAAGATAATCCAACCCAATCCAATCCATTTCATTCATGCAGCGCATTTTGTAAAAACAAGTTTCCGAAGGGCTGTGAAGAAGATGACAAAGTCTGGGATCGCGTCTTTAATTCAGACAGAAGACATGTTTTATTGTCAATGGTAGAGACAGCACGAACAAAGCACACAATCACAGATACAAGAGAATGCAAGTGTATTATACAGAGCGGAGGCATGGAGACCTCCAATCAGCAGCTTCCACGGTGCCATGTAGCTTGGCCTTCAGATAGACAAAACATAAAGTGGAAAAGTACAGGCTTCTGCACATTGATAGAATGATGAGTTTAACTTTAACACAAGTTGCTTCAAAGTGTTATGAAATCTCATATTCCCCCCTCTGGTCATACATCCACGTGTGACCATCAGGATCGATAAACAGCAACATAACATCATAACTCAAT